TTTTTGATATGTGAATTAAGCAGTGTGATATCAATAAAGGTCATGGAAAAGTTGTGATGACATGGATTTCTGCGCTAAATGGGTTAAGTTGTTGTATTCTTTCAGGTCTTTTTTTAAACAAATGAACAATGGACGCCATTGTATCTTATTAGGTGTATGAGGTGAACAAGAAATACCTTGAGGGAAAATAAGGACGAAAACACTATGAACATGACGGACAAAAAAAGAGGACAAATATACAGTTCCTCGTTCTACCCTCAACACTGAATTGCTGTGGTAGACAAAGGAACATCCCTTCACTGCTATTATGTAAAAATGTGTAGCACAGGTGTCACATGCATATTCACCTGTTCTACACATGTTTACATAATAGCAATGAAGGGATGTCCCTTTGTCTACCACAGCAATTGTTGAGGGTAGAATGAGGAACTGTATATTTTGTCCTCTTTATTTGTAGGTCATGTTCATAGTGAAAGGGCCTGCTGGCGACAGAGACAAAAAGTAGGTCACATTAAAGTAGGTTTAGGAAATGCTCTGTCGAACTGGATTTCAGATTGCATCCTATTGAAACACGACATTTTGGAAAAGGAACTTTTATCAGTGAATAGAATTGGTTTGCATCAATGTAGGTCAGAGACAGTTTACTATTTCCGCTCCAACTGGGTTAAGTAATTGAATTTTCGAGATCGGGCTATCTCTCTTATCATGTTGGCTTGACGGAATTATCATGTATTCCATCATATGAATTGCAGGCCCTTATTTGAATAGGTGAATCAGATAGAGTTACATTAATGCTTTAAAAAGAAATACCACGTTGGCATTAATTCATTTACATTTTCATTCTATTGTATTTTAATGAACTAAAACACAAAATAGTAAATTCAATTCGTTTCAGCCTTATGAGGCTACTGTATGAATGTGTGTTTTTAATCGATAAATCAGTTCACTTACAATCGCAATAACTGATTTTTTTTTTTTTTTTAATTAGGGCCTTTTTCACATTTCTTTATTGTAAAGGCCTGCAAACAAGTTTCAAATGAACGGTACTTAACATTCTGTTGTATTTATATAAAGATGCAATTTGGATAGAATGTATCAAAATTATGGGAGAGGAGATGTGACGTTGTCATTGCATATCCAAACCGTTTAAAGGTACCCTTCTCTGTTCTGTCGTATCCCCTTCATAAAATATTCCCACCGTCCCCATTTAAGAGGTTCAAGAAAAAAAAGAGTTGGTCCATACTGTGTAGCACCACTCTAAACACTTTCTCAGTTCCCACATTATTTTCTTTGTTGCCTGGGTCGCCACAAGTTCAACGAGACTGCCAGGACAGCGACTCATTTTTTATTTCAATAATTTCCAGGAATCGAGGGTAGTTTAAAGGTAAAGACCAGTTATGGTCATGCGATTGCATTGTGGAAGAAACGTTGTGGAATCGATCAGAAAAGGTTGATCATCTAGCATCTAGCATCTGCAAGGTTCTGGAATCAACAAAATGATAAGAAATTTGGCCCATTCTTCGTAAAGTTACAAGCACTATACACAGAAAGATGTATATGGGACTACCCTATATCTCTCACAGACCATGAGAGAAACAAATTTACCAAATATATGAATTAGTAGGCGGTTTCCCGGCAAATTTTTTATCATCATGTATTAGTCAAAACATATTCTTTCACATGATTGGAAATGAGAGCTTCCATTTCATTTTTTGAAATTGGGGCGTTTCCAATACTGGTCTTTATCTTTAATGACAATAGCAAATGCGGAAAACGCCCCCCCTCCCTGGCTGCTATAAATAGCGATGTTGCAGTGGCCTCATACACATGTATCATTCAAAACTGTACATTCAATAATTGGTTGATAGTCCTCAAATATTTCTTCTAATGTTCCTCTATTCTTTTAATATTTTATTTATTCATATCATTATTTACATTATTTTATCGTGTATTTCATTCTCTTACAATACAATACGGGGTAATTGATGATTAACTCGAATTTTGTTTGTTTGAATGTAAATATGTATATGCTTGAATAAATATGAAATTAAAGATAAACTCCAGTACTGGTAAAAAAAAAAAAAATTAATTCTCACAGAATCAAACGAAACTTACACTGAATGTTCAAGATTACAAATAAATGACATGTGCCAAACAATTTTGGAAGAAAATGTATACTGGCTGAGTAATGAGCATAGAAAGACAAGGAAATCAAGGTAGTACTAGCCCCGACACCATGTGTGTTGTCCCATATATAGCTTTCTATGTGAGTGCTTGTTACTTTACCAAGACTCGGTCAAATTTATTATGATTTTGATGACTCCAGAACTTTGCAGTGCACACCAATACTTACATGCTACATGATCAACTGTTTCTGATCCTTTCCACACCTTTTCTTTCACAATGCAATCGTATTACCAGTACTAAAGTTTATCTTTAAATAAATGAACAGGAAAAAAAAAAAATATTTATTTGTCATTTTTCTGATGCTTTTGATTACCTCAACAAGGGTAAAAGGATTACTACACTGTACAGTAGGATAAATAAATCTCATGCTAAGCCAATGGGTTTGGGTTGCCTGGCAGCCATGTGTTTGAAACATGTATAAAAGCCCTATACTATGATAAATGTATATCGTTATTCTTTCTTTTTTTTAATGTCATTATTGTAGACATTGGGAAAAGTCTTAGTTTCGTCATGCAGGAGAATTCGTAACCCCTTTGCGTTGAATTTGTACTTTTATTTTCGATTGTTAATTTTCTTTTTAATTTCATTTTGATATTGTAATAATATGGCAAAGCTTTGACATACTTACTGTGTTTGTATGTTCTGGTTACTTTACCGTAACAGTATGTTATTTCCTTTGGTTCACGTCTTATTCATTCAATGATTTCCCAATCAACTTTTTGTTTTACATCAATGATAATGTTTGCTTCAAATCTGTTTTTTTTTTTTTTTTTTTTACCTGACTGCTAAGAAAGCATCTATATGTTTGTAAGTGAGTCCTTTAAGTCATCTCCAGGGGACTTGGTAATTATGATTAATGCCTTACCAAATGCACTAGCGTTTCGACTTGATTTCGAACCCGGTTCGAGATCACCACTCTACCACTGAGCCATCGCTCCTCTTCGTTTAAAATATACACATCATAATTTTAACAGGTAGTCGGTTGTTAATATTCAATTTCACATTAGCCTGTTACTCAAAGAAAATATCAAAACCGTGTATCACATAATTATATTGAAGAACACAAATACGCAAAACGATATTACACAGAAGTATTAATATTTTGGGGCAGACAAATATGAACGTTGTACCGCTTGTTGTTTACTCAGACAGTATAGTGCACCGACTGAGTAAAGTTCACGGGGTCATCAATTAGATATTGTTTGTCTAGTATCTGATCATGCAGGAAGGAAATGAAGCGGAAAAATTCGTGTAGAAGTGTCGGTTTAAAAATTGTTGACCTAAGCTCGTAGACATGTAAATAGCAAAGAAGTTTATATCGGATCATCAGAGGCACAATTCAATAGCTGGAATATGTATCAGATAAGCTACACAAATACACGTGAGCAAAGTATTATGTGTTTTGAACGAGAATGGAGTAACTTAGCATGTTTACTGGATAATAGCCAGCACTAGGCTGATCCGTATGCACGTTCGTCTATGGCATTGCCCACATGCGTTTGTGCCTGGTAACATCATTTTGTTTTTGCACGATGGCGTGCTTGTCTTTACAGCGTCGAATAACATTGATACTTATTGTCATTTGTATGATCTTGACAGTAGTGCTTTCTTCGCGGCATGACAATAAGCAAAATGGGAGACGCCATAACATACTGGTGAGCATGACCGACCCGACTAGCATGCACAGTCGGACGAGTCAAATGGCCGTCGTATCCAAGGGTCTTCTTGAGAGAGGACATTCTATCACCATCCTGGTTCCGTCAAACAAAGGTATCAAAGGTTTTGAGGGAGCATTCGACCACGCTGTCGTTTACGATGTCGCTTTCGAACAGTCCGACGTTGACGAGTTGAAAGCGGAGATGATGCGGACTGCCCTTGGAGTAGGCGTACCCGATGATGAATCAGGATGGAATCCCCTAAGACCGTTGTCGATCGTCAATGGTTATTTGAAGTTCTTCACGACAAGTTGCACTGGTTTCTTCGGAAATCAAAGCATCGTCGAGCAACTGCAACATTCTAAGTTTGATCTTATGATCCACATCGCCATGAACCCCTGTGACTTCTTGGTGGCCGAGAGCCTGAACATACCTTACGTCACTATGACGTCATCAATTCGGCAGACGCTCTTTGACGAGGACACCGTCTCCATCCCAATACCTTCCTCGTATGTGCCCTTCTCCCTCTCAAAGTCATTCACAGATGATATGTCCTTTCTGCAAAGAACTTCAAATCTTTTATTTCGCCATGTGATTGGACCTTGTCTAAAGCTGTACGCGCACTCGATGTTTAGGGACATCCAGATGAAGTATAACATTTCTGTAGATAAGGCTTTTGATGAATTGACGAGTGGGTCCGAATTGTGGCTGGCTCATATTGATTTCAGTCTGGACTTTCCCAGACCAACTGGCCCTGGTTGGATACCTGTCGGAGGATTGCTGCGGTACGAGCCTAAACCCATTCCTCAGGTACGATACAGAGATAAATTGTCCTACACATCTGCAACATTCATCTCAAAGTTTGTTCCATTCCAGATGCGCATGCTCACTCACACCTTGATTATTGCCGTCCAAGAGTAAAATGAGTTTAGGATAATGATGATCCACAGTAAAATGGTACAATATTATTATATCTTACCCATTAATAAGTGCAGGCCTCTCCAAAGAGATAAGCACAGTATACCATTGCCTGAAAGTGAATTTATTGCCGTTGCAACAGGTACGATACAAAAATAAAGTGTCCTACACATCTGTAACTTCCTATTAATTTCATTCGTTGATTAATATACCTTTTCAACTTTGTTTTTCTCCTCACAGGACTTGGAGAACTTTGTCCAAGGTGCTGGAAAACATGGAGTCATCATCTTCAGTTTGGTAAGTTCTGTCAGCCGTTTTTGGTATATGGCAAGGGATACCTTAGTCACTGTTTAATCAATCGTCGAACAGTCATGGGAAATGGCTAAAGAGTGTTTTTTGTATATCATCATAGGCGTACACCCACCCTGCCTACACACACACACACATACACACATACATACTCACGCACAAACGCACCTTCACCAAGTCATATCTAGGCGAACATTATAATTTCATAATCCCTTTTGTTTTTGTAAATTGATGAATTCTACACTGTAAAAATTTGCTGTAACTCATGCAGTAAAATACTGTGATTTACAACAGTAATATGTTGTAATAACGATTTTACGATAATTAACTGTATAAGTACGTTGCTGTACAGTATATTGCTGTAAACATCAGTGTCGTAGAGCATGGGAACAAATATCTACAGTAAGCTAGTGTAAAGGAGCGTGCAAAAAGCATTGTGGGATACAGCGCACATGCGCATTAGGCGGATCGGCTGCATATGCGCGTATGCGTTGCACGTGATTGGCTCCCGCGCTAGCCCGCCACGCCGCGCCGCCATTTTTAATTTTCTGCAAAGATTTGAGCTGAGATATATAGCTGAGCTGGCCGGCCTGATCCTGAGCAACGAATCTGAATCTGTTCTGTTCCTGGTCCTGATCCTCGAGCTGGGATATTGATGACCAATAAGTCAATTCCAAGGGGATCCGAGGTAAGTTACAGATTGCCAATTATCAGAGTCATGATTTGATTTGTATCCCGCTGAAGTGAAGAATTGTCAGACTGTGGAAAGTATAGGGATTGTGTTTGTAATTGTTCCGTCTACGGTATATGTGTACTGTACGTGCTGTGCTGTGGTGTGTGGGACAGAGTCGGTAGTGTTAGTGCAGCACATGACACTGTACTGCAGTACCAGCGTACAGTGTCACTGTCAATGCGATGCCATTGCACATGGATATGCATGCTCACGTTAAATTGGAAATGTCTAACGTCAAGACCATCAAGACTTATAACTTATAGGACACCGCACACACTACGATCGACTACAGCATCAGTCCATCATGAGCACACTGCGTGATCAGTTGAATACGCACAAGTCTAAGCTCATGTAGTGTAGTCTACAGCACGTTACTGAAGAAATTACAGCAAAGTACTGGCAATCCTGCTGCATAGTGTAATTTTACTTAAAAGTTAAAATATGAAATAAAATTACAGTAAGTTACTGTAAAATTACTTAGTATTTTACTGTTACTTAGTAATTTACAGTAAGTTACTTTAAAATTACTGTAATTTACTGTAAAATTACTGTAATTTACTTTTTTGAAGGTCGCAGCGTTGTCATAGCAACCAAATAGGCCATTCCGTAACTGGCAGTAAGTTACTGTAAAATTACTGAGTAATTACTGTAAAATTACTGTAATTTACAGTAACTTACTGCTAGTTTACAGTAAAGTACAGTAATTTTATTTCATATTAATTTTGAGTACTTGTCTACTGTAATTCACTGTAATTTTAATTTACAGTAACTGTAGGTTATATCTACAGTAAGTTACCATCAATTTTTACTCAAAGTATCTGCCTGTAAACTTTCCTACAGTAAATCACTGCATTTCTTAGAGTAAATTGCTGTTACCGTAGGTTCTTCAAATACTAACAGTAAATTACAGTAATTTTTGTCTTTAAGGATTGTAAATTTGTTTTACAGAAATCTATTGTAGTTTCATTTACCGCAAATGAATGTTAATTTCACTTATGTAGTAACATTCATAGCCGTGAAATCAAATGTTTTTTTGCTGAAGGTTTCGCATACAGTCATCATCAGGAGGCTCGTGACAACTGGTTATATTTGATGAATTTATGTTTTTCTTTCGATTTTCTTTTGTATTTTTTGTCCTTTATCTTTTTTTTTATTATTCATTTATCATTTAAATAACTTTTAATCTGTCAATGCTGTACATAAAAAGTTATGTGTACGTATGCATATTAAAGGTATTGTTTTCCGCTCTTCTTTCTTGCAGTATGCCATGGATTACTGCTGAAGTCACACAGTGTGCATGCTGAAACACTAATCAGACGGATGCTCTACATGGACATCATATACCCATGTACGTTTGTAAGCTATGTAATCATTCTTCTGGATCATTGAAGCGGTTTTCTGAACACTTTTCAGTCCATAGAAATGTGGTGAATTTCGATTTCCCGTGTGGTGTTCCTGGCTGCAATCGAACATTCAGAAATTATTCATCCTTCAAAACCCATGTGCATAGGGATCATCAACCATTTTCAAGAAAAAAAGATGCCCAGTTTTTCTGCGTTTCTACCTGGAATTGTCCACTCTGTGCTGTAAAATGTGAGGAAATCCATGACATACTTTCTCATCTTAGAGTTCATATCAAACACGGAGTTGAAATACGCTGTCCTTTTGCCAATTGCAAAAAACGTTTTTCAGTGAGGTCGTCTTTTGCGTCACATATATCAAGAGTACCTGGTATTCTCGAACTTCCAGTCAGTCTGAATACGCCTTAAGATATATATACTGGAAATGTCATTTCTTGCAAAATTTATAACATGTTCTGTATAATTATAAGAAGTGTATCTTAGTACAGACTAACATTCAGAACAAATTACAGGGGCGCCTACATACTACATCAATTTCAAAATTATCAATTAAAAAAAATCCCACTTACATTGAGTATCTGAACCCTTTACTTTCACACACTTTCTTAAAATTTTATTTGTGTCTTTTTGCCCTTTTTAGACATTTGCAAATGTTATGCTTGCAAAAGGGATCATGTACCTTTAATATGCATTTCAATTGAACTTAATATGAAACATCACAAGTGAAAATTGAAATTTGAAATCAAATATTTTGTTAGTGAGGGAGGTTAAAAAAGTCACGTGACTTCGTGGTATTAAGGAAGCCGTGTGTTTAGCCTTGATGCAAAGAGACCAACTACAGGGAGCCCAAACTTTTTTAATAAATTGTGTCTAGCGGTCATTGAACTTCCTAGACAAAGCATTAGTACGTGTATTCTGTGAGCCTGGCATGTGTGCAGCCTTGTCATCATAAGCATTGCTTGATTGTTTACTTACTGTTTTCCAAAATATGTTTTACATTACTTGCAATTTAGCATTATTTTACCTTAGTGAATTTTCATATATTTTAGTCTGTACATGCAATACACCTTTATTTTAATAAATTTAATAAGTCATGAAATAAATGAATTTGCCAAATATTAGGCCTATATTTAAGTAACCTATATTTTATTTCGACATATTTCAAGTTATATAATAATATATTTTTTTTAAGTAACTTATATTTTATTACGATATATGTTACGTTATATGGTAATATGTTTTTTTATCATATTTAATACGTAGCAATATTGTAGCTAAACGAATTTCATAATTTTATGTTTTCATTTTACATGTACACAAATTGATCATATTTTCTATTTTCTTTGTTCATTGTGCACATTGGTAATTCTATTTCATTAATTTCTGTATATCATGTATATTTTCTTATTGTCAAGTATGTTTTACGGTTTTTGTTATTTTGCACAGCCCCTTTGTAAACCAGCCGAGTAGCTGAATAGGGCTTTTACCGTCAATAAATCAATCAATCAATCAATTGAATGACAGCTCATGAAGTTGAAACAAGTTTCTGTGCAGAATTGGCATGTAAATGAGACAAGAATACAGAAGAATATGAAACACGTATTAAAGATTACAAGTTTAATATAACAGAGCAACTCAAATTAAATGGGGTATTAGTTCAAAAGATAAATTAAACAAAAATAAAGTGAGTAATGTCTTTTGGAGAGATTCTACCAGGTATAGAGAGTTTTCCTTGATTCTGCCAGGTATATGGAGACTTTTCATTGATTGTATTCTGATAGTAGTTGTCGTTTAATAGTGGCTTTAAAGGAAGATAAAAGTGTATAAAATATGTCTTGTTTACAATTGAAGATAATTCTTTACAATAGTTTTTTACAATTCAGAATTTTAAAGTGAACATATTGTTGTCTGTTCGACAAATAATTTTTGACCCAAGAAAGTGCAGTGCCCCTAAGCCATACGTTGTGATTTAGCATATCAATGCCTTAAAGCCGCTATGTCTGCACAATTGCATGTGTTATTCTGTCGTATAATTAAATTAATGCTAGGTCGGGTGAATGATTTTTTTTAAAGCCATATTGGTTGGGATTAAGCAAGTTATGTGTATTTCAGAATTGGTATAATCTAAACAATTTTTTCAAGAATTTTTGAGATACTGGAAGGATGACTATGGGTCTGTAGATTCTTGAGTACTTGAACTTTTGCAGTTTTTAGTGGTTTTACTTGTTTTAATGTTTTACTTGATAGTTTCTTTGCAAGCATTTTCATAATGTTACACTATTTGAGAAACTTGTTTTATGGAGCGTTGATTACCCAATAAAGACTTTAATAATGATTTTTGTGTTCAGAAAGCTTGTTTTTTCCTCAAATTAACAGGATGATGCTGCTAATGTCAAGTTAGAATACTGTACTTATTACATTAACTTAATGTAAATGAGAGAAATAGATTAAAAAAAATAACAGGATGATACTGCTAATGTCACAGTAGAATACTGTACTTAATACATTAACTTAATGTAAATGAGAGAAATAGATAACAAAATAACAGGATGATACTGCTAATGTCACAGTAGAATACTGTACTTATTACATTAACTTAATGTAAATGAGAGAAATAGATACAAAATTAACAGGATGATACTGCTAAAGTCACAGTAGAAAAGCTGTACTTATAACATTAACTTAATGTAAATGAGAGAAATAGATACAAAATTAACAGGATGATACTGCTAAAGTCACAGTAGAAAAGCTGTACTTATTACATTAACTTAATGTAAATGAGAGAAATAACATTAATTTACTGTAGAGAAAAACTTACAGTACATAACTGTAAATACATTTAAATTACTGTGAATAAAATTACATTAATTAACTGTAAGAAGAACTTACAATAAATACTGTAACCTTATACATGAAAATTTCTTTACAGTAAGCTTACAGTATTTTAATGTCTTACAGCAAGTTACTGTTGAAAAACTTACAGGAAGTTACTGTAATGTCAAAGTTACAGTAATTTACTGTGCAACAAAGTTGCCAGTAATTTACTGTAATTTCTACAGTGAAATTTTTAACAGTGTAGGTATCTGGAAAATGGAAATACAATATGTCAATCAACCGTTTAAGATGTTGCAGCCTGAAACTGAATTTTTGAAGACGTAATTTTGTAAATCAAATAATCATTTTTGGTGTCTTCGTGACTCTCGCATGGCTTAGTGTAGTTTGTATTATACTATCATCAGCATCTACCTTTTTATTAAGCCATTTTAATTTAATGATGATGATGATGATGATAGCTTCTTGTAGTTAGCTAGTTTCCTCTTTTCTCCTGCTATTACTATTATATTTGTCTTGTTTTATTGTATATTTTCTGTAATATACTTATATTAAATTATAAATAACATTGCAATTTCATTGTATTATGTTTTGCATGAATCTTGTATAGCACCGCTCTTCACCTCGGTTGGGCCCTCATCGCACTTGCTCTACAATGTCTTACAAATATTAATTCAACGTTCATTGCAATCCATTTAGCACTCCCAAATCGAAGATAACAAACACCAAGAAATTATTTGCCTTCCCTGTACTTTGTCTTTCAGGGCTCCATGGTGACGTCACTGATGGATGATGAACTCAACGAACTTTTTGCCAAGGTTTTCAGCGAGCTTCCACAACGGGTTCTTTGGCGATATGTTGGACCGAAGCCTCGTAACCTTGGAGACAACACACGTGTCATGGAATGGTTGCCGCAAAATGATCTATTAGGTAATATTTACACACAAAAAATCGACGATTGACATGGAGTCGCATTGTATGTACAGGGCTTCATTATGATCGAATTCATAGATATTGTTTCTGTTCAAATAGAAGACCGACCACTCCCATTTATGATTGAATTGGTGGTGGTGGTTGTTATTTTACCTGACTGCTAAGAAAGCATAAATGCTTGTAAGTAAGCAACTAGACGGCCGACGGATTTAGGTCCTCTCCGAGGGACCAGGTAATGAAGATTAATGCCTTACCAAAGGGCACTGGCGCATCGCCTTGGTTTCGAACCCGGGTCACCGGATTACGAGACCACTGCTCTACCGACTGAGCTATGGTGAATTCTGGAAAAGGCAGTTATGATGGAGTTGATGAGGCTTGTAACATTCTCGTTTCAGTATAATTGGAGATAGACTATTACTTGCCATTCACTGTATGGTTATAAAATAGAAAGAGTGTTTCAAGCAAGATGCAAAACTAAAAATTAATAATCAATAATGGTCGTGAAAATAATATTGTACCTTTGTCTTGAAAATGATGTATTGGTTTAAAAGCTTGTGATACTTCAACGGGAAAAAACGATTCATGCAGATGTGATAATCACTCAGTGGGCTTATGAAAGTAATCACCGTTTCCTTCTAAATCCAGGCATTATTTAACCAAGATGTCATTAGCCTGATCATGTATGAATCGTCATGAATTATGCAAACGTGTTTTCTTCAGAACAACGGTTTATTTTTTTGGGGGTGCCTTTTGGGGGTCTATAGTTCCTGCAGGAAGGGCACAATAATATTAGGAGGCACATGTGTTGTGTTTTTTTGTTGTTGCTTATTGTGTGCTTAGGACATTTCGGAATGGGCTTTGTTGGGGCATGCCACCCCCCCCCCCCCTCAATGGATCCGCCACTGGTTGAACTTTTTATTATTTTACAACTGTGCATAGTATGGTGGTTAATAATGGTTATTTTCACATATCACGACCAGGTCATCCGCAGACACGACTCCTGATCTACCACGGCGGTATCAACGGAGTCTACGAGGCTCTCTACCACAAGGTCCCCATGGTCCTGCTACCAATCTTCGCTGACCAGCCTGCAATGGGGGCTCGTGTCACCAAGAAAGGCATGGGCGTGGTCTTGGACAGGGCCAAGTTGACCCACGAGACTATCAAGAATGCCATAGAAGAAGTCATCAACAATCCTAAGTAAGGACTGGTTTCTACGAGAAACACAAATTACGAGGTTCTATATTTCGTACAGAAATTTAAAAACAAATCGGTCTACACTGTATTTCTCTACAATGTCTCTATTTCCACCTCTTGAGGTGAAAGAAACCTATGACGAAGTAGGAAAGGATAAAGGTTCATACCCCATTGCAGGAAATCGTAAGGTTAAGACCATGGGACAGAATAGAAGTGTGTCCCCCTCGGATATAGAACTTAAAATATAAAAAAATGACCCGAATGATTTCAATCTATGAGTATTCTACTTTCTTTAAATGTGATGCAAGTTGGGTTTTTTTCCCCATTTTGTTAGGGGTAGGGGTTGTTTTGACAATTATTCTTGCTCTGCCAAAAAAGATTGTTGTAAAACGTCAATCAACGTCCCCTTCAAGAAATTGTACGGGCCCCTGAACACTGTGCATTATGAAACATTGAGATTATACCTACCACCAGTCACATCCGAAATGAATATATTATTGAAATTCCATTCAAACATATCGAGCTGGCGCTATTCCATTCCTCTTCATTGCCCAAATTGTCACCTTCACTATTCTAGCTTTTATCCATTCTGCACTTGTATAGTTCCACATACCCATTTACTCCTTTAGTTTGAATACAGGAAGACCAGGGGCGGATCCACCCCCCCCCCCCCTGTCTCTCTCTCTCTGCAAATTTTCTTATTTTCCCTTCTTTTGGCTCAAACAGTAATTCCTTTGTTTTTTTGTTTTTGTATAAGGATCATCTCATTTTCGAACCTTGCTCTGTTATCATTCGTAGAAGGAAATGTTAAAGAAAATGTAACGAAACAGAGTTAAGCAAATAAGATCTTTATTTCTCCAAAAGAAAAAGTAATCTCTACATATTTCCATTTTCGTCCTAGGTATAAAACCAACGTCGAACACTACGGCTCTATCCACCATGACACCATCGCTAGCCCGCTAGACACCGCAGTCTTCTGGATCGAGCACGTGCTCAAATTCGGAGGCGACCATCTACGATTACGAGGTCGCGATCTAAATTTCTTCGTCCTAAATTCATTCGATGTTCTAGCCTTCTTCATCGTAATATGCCTCGTCATCCTATACGTCAATTACCTCATACTTCGAACTTGCTATCGGTGCTGTTGTGGAAGGGGAACTAGGAAACCAAAGTCAGATTAAAATTATTTGTGTAACCAGTGGACCCCACTCCCAAGAATATATTCGTCTTAAATGTTGATTTATTTTTAAAAAATTACTGAACACGGTTCAGTATTAAAAAGAAATTTAATTAATCAATATTTTGGCAGAATATGGAACATGAGATTGTAAATATTTAATTCGATGTTGACATGGGTTGAGTTATAATAGTAGGGAAGAATTTAGGTGCAGTGTATCTGTAAAGTCTCCACGTCCTCGTAAATTATTGATATTGGTTGATCAATTGAAACAAAATATCAGGTGCAATGGTAATTTTCACGGATAGTGTAGTCATATTTTTATACATGTGCCTTTATTAACTTTTCCATACAAAATATAACAGGAGCACATGTTGCATTCATTGGATTTACATTCAATGAACTTGATGATTTTTTTTTAAAATACAAATGTTCATAAAAGTAAAATTATGATTGCTGAATTATATATAATGTCAATGTTATGAACATCTCGTGAAGTAATTCTTCTTTGAATTCACCAACAGAGGTTCAAAGTACCTCCTCTTTTTAAATGAATTTCAACGTGGATTTCTGGCAAGTTTGTATTTTCTTCTCAGTGACCCTACTACAAGAAAAGCAAATAGAAACATTGGGACCACTTCAAATATTCAGGAACAATCATTTAAAGAAATATTACCATTTCCTTGAAGTGTCAAACCATAATGCATGTACAGCTAGAAACCTCTCAGAACGATTAATCCTTGAAATAACTGCAATCATGACAATAATACTGAAGAAAGTTATGTCCTTTTTATGAGCTTTCTGTTCTTCCAAACGTCCTTCAAACAATTCAAATTTTGGAATATATAAAAAATTATTTAAATCATTTGTAATTGTTTGCAATTATCCGCATTCGAAAGAGCATTCATTAGGTAAATCTTATCAGACATAAACCATGAACAATTTAATTCCTTTGCCATTATTTGTGCAATGCGAATCCATGTATTTGAGTGAAGTACTGTATATAACAAGACGTTTCTGTGTAGATGCTTTGCATTTTGAAATACCACGTAGTTCCCATAAATGCACTGATTAAAACTCCATTTTAATTGCCAAGTACAATTTAAAATCATGTAAGATTCAGCAATAGTTTTTACAACTTTTTGTACATTTTATCGGAAGCATAATGACTATACGTCGAGAATCGTTACTGCTTTCTTGATGTCATTAAAGACCTTTTTTTTAAATACAGACAAAATGAAAGTACAAGGTGAAGTAATAATGATGTTTTTATATTTCAGTTTCAATCTATCATTTTATGAACGCAATTACTGTGCAGTGTTATAAGTAAATTATTTTAAATACACAACATTATTGAACATATTTTGTTTGAATATATATAAAATCTTATTTTGCCCCCCAAATATTCAATTACATTTAGACTAAGAGAAAATGGAAAGCTGAAAATTGGGGTTTCAAATTAAATGTGATTGACTCCTGTGGTTTTCTTACATTTTTTCGCTTTTCTTCACAAATGTGCATGAATAATTTCTTATAATTGTAAAAATGAATAAATTCATATGAAAATATAGTATATTTGATCGTCATGTCTCTTGTTTTTTTTTCTCCATATTTCCCTCATATTACTGTTCAAAAAATGTACAGGTTGTACCTTGTACCATCTTTCGTACGTTTTGAATTCCAAGGATATTACTTTTAATCTCTCCTAAAAAATTAAATTAAGATCTACCTTGTTTTTATCTCGATGCAATTATTTTACATTAAACGAATCTGGATATACTGAACGATAGATTTTAAAAAAATACATTTCAACAGTCATTCAGGAATAGAAAATATACAAAATTATGTAACTATTCTATTTTCTTTTTATAAATGTAATGCTTCCTGGGAGAAATTTCAATAATTTAAACATATGTGTGGCTTTACACCCAGTAAATAAGATCGATAATTATTCTATTTTCGTTTTCTTGCTTTTTAAGCAACATGATAGACATCGCTTACAACACGTATAGAGAAGGAAAACGATGACAGCTATGATCCCGACGATGAAAGCGAGAACGTCGATCGAATGAAGCTGGATGAAGCTGAGTTCCAAGGCTCTAGATCTCAAGTGTGACCCTCCAAATTTGAGGATGTGTTCCACCCAGAAGCCAACAACATCATCCGGTTTGGTTATGGAATCCCTGTAGATTCCTGAATATCGTCGGATATTTTCTAAGTAGCTGAAAAAATAGATCGCGAAAAGCCCAAATTATATCGGATGAGACCCATCGAGCGGGACTGTATAAACAAAAATGACACCACCTTCGCTGAAATTACAATAAAATACATCGTAGAACATAATTATAAATGCTCATTGCAGTTCAACAGAAAACATTGCGTAATAATGAACCAAGATGGCGTTCAAATCACAGGTTGCCTAGGGCCATCTGTACACACATTTTGGTCAACGTGGTTTCAGGTGGTCATAACAAGGCGTCTCTTCTTTAGTTTTGTGCTCCTAGGGGGGGGGGGGGGACTGGATGGGATGAAATCACTGAACATACAATTCTTGTCATTATTTTTTTAATCAAGTGAACAGACTCATCAATCTGTCTATTCAATCAGTCTGTCGACTTCAAAACGAGCCTTTAATATCTCAAAAATCTGTGCGTTCTGCTTGAAGAATGGCGGAAATCATTCAAATTCAACAGATCTATAATTATGTGCAATTATAATCGTTCAGTTCAGCTTATAAAACAAAACACCAGACATAGCAATCATGACAAAAAACATGATCCCAATTAAGACCCCAAAAAGCTATGCTTGCGAGTGGGGCCCCTGGGAAGGGTGGACCTCTCAATCCCGGCGGATTGGCAAAGAGACCAAAGTATTTCAAGGATCTGCGCAATTCAAAACATGACAGATAGTAGGATACGATCATGGATACGATACAGTCTCACGGACCATATTTTAGTCACGCAACTTATTTTTACCTGGGATTTTCAAGGACATCGACCACAGCTTCCTTCACGGTCTCGTACGTGATGGAGTCTTTCTCAATCACTCTCCCCATTCCTTTAGCCTCGACCCTGACCGCGTTTGAGGGTTGATCGGCGAAGATTGGCATGATGACCATAGGGACGGCGTGGCTGATGGCTTCGTAAATGCCCGCGAGGCCGCCGTGGTAGATGAGGAGCCGGGCTTTCGGGTGACCTGTTGAAATTCATAGTTATTGATTAAGATTGATTAAAGCTATACGTACAGATCTTGTTACAAAACAAAGATATAATACAGACTCTATGCCTTATTCATCACCCCGAGTCCAGATTTGTAGAATGTCATGCATTTTAGAATACAGGATTTATTCAAAATGTTCTGTTCTTCTTCACACAACCATAACAATAGTACAGTGCTACCAGAACCAAAGAGCTACTACAGGTATCGGGACAGGGTGTTTGAATGACTGATTATAACTAAAGTTCTACAAAGACAAACGTACTTACCTAGTAGGTCATTTTGTGGCATCCATTTTACCAGCATGGTGTTGTTACCAAGGTAACGAGGGCGTGGCCCAGTATAGCGCCAGATGACTCTCTGTGGAAGCTCACTGAAGACTCTTGCAAAGGCCTCTGCCATCCCTGGTTTTGGAAGCTCGCTAAAGTGTGTACCCTGAGTTTGAAGAAAAAAGTCATCAGTAATCACTATAAAATGTGATATAAAGTGATTTACATCCTCTTTTAAATAAAACGATTTGTTATAGTTTGTTATTTAATTGCCATAGTATGTTCTTTAAAATTGACTTATATCTAGGAACCTACAGTTTCCGGTGATTGTACTCCACTTTCGAAATTACACATTGTGCTTAAGGTCGATCAAACACTTTTTAGCCTTACTGGTACGTTCTTTGAAATGGAAGGCTCACATTGAAGACGACAGCATTACCATCGGCCAAATGAATATAGCTGCGGTAAACTATTGGCCTATATGTGCTATTTACCGGGGTGTATTTTCATGAAAAAGTCACCCAAAATATATAGTTAGTACTGAAAGATCATGATAATTGACTTATAATTCCTAACATCTTGACAAAGACAAAAACATTTCAAAGACAGCTGCTTACCAATGAAAATACGATGAAACCATGATCGCCCGATCCATCAACGAAGTCTGCATAGTCCTGTGGCAAGAAAAGGGGGCACAAAAATGTGAGGGGGGGAAGCAGATAAACGAATATGGCAGAAAACATACTAAAGAGTTTTCACCATAATCTCTAACATTGACTTTTAAAAGGTTGTATCTGAAAGTATGGTATTACTATAACGTCCATGGATAAACAATTTCTGGATTCACTCTATTAAGAAAAGGGTATGTTGATCGTCAATACCTATAATCATCATTATACAAGGTGTATCAAGCTTATGGTAGAGCTAGCATATCCTCAGACACCTCCGTTTCAAAGCCCAGAACAAAATAATATTGTTTTAATTGTCGCGAGACTTGCCATGGGTGGAAGATCTTCAAGAAAATACATATTGCCCATTGCTAACCATCCCACCTCCGTTTATCTGGGTATAGGCCACTTGGTCAAGATCTTTACCATCGATATGATTACTTTCAAAATCATAATTAAAAGTGTAATCACGATAATGAACAAACTCTCACTAGCACCAAGAAAGTAAGGAATGTGTTAGATGGTGTTTGTGTGTGAGAGAGAAAGAGAGACAGAGAGAAAGAGAGAGAGAGAGAGAGAGAAAGGGAGAAAGAGATAGTAAGAGAGAGAGAGAGAAGAAGTAAACAAAACAACAAAAAGAGAGAAAGTATAATTATGTGCACGTGGACGTGGAATTACTTTTACCTGCGGAAGAGGCTTCACGGGAATGTCTGTGAGACCCTTCAGCTCAATCCAATTCGGTGTGGTAGGTCGGGGAAAATCAAATGCGAAACTCGTCATGCACATCCACAACTCTGCTTCTCCTAAGAGATCTGGAATGCTTCGACCTGGAGCGATACCATGCTTATCCTTCACCTCATTCAAAGCGCCAAAGTGGGACCATCCTAGTAATTTCGCGATCAGGTGGTGTTCAAGGAAGCTTCCAACTCGCTCGCAAAAGGACATCTTGTCAGAGAAAGGAAAGAAACCGAAAGGCACGTAGGACGACGGGGTTGGTACACCGTAGGTATGTTCGTTGAACAAGGGGTACCGCGTCCCAGTGGTGACGGCAATGAAAGGGATACCGAGGTAACTACTAAGCAGTGCATCACATCCATCAAATGAGTCCCCGATGAGGATGTCAAAGGTGGATTCTTTGAGAAGGGTGAGCGTCGCAGAGTCATCTAACAGACTCTGGCACCCGATCCGCATCACGGAAAAAATCATCCCCATGACCTTTACTTTCTTCTTCAGATCAGACTCGAAAGCAAGATTAATAAAATCTTTTTCAAGTGTTTCCATGTCAGGCATGTCCGGTGGTAACTGGAATTTGTACTGGACTGCCTTGTTGTAATCGTCCTTCTGGAATCCCTTTGTCCCTACCGTGGAGCTGGTCAGGATTGTCACGTTGTGACCGCGTCTGGTTAACGCTCCTCCTATGGCGGACATTCCTTTGGCATGGCTACTCTCTCCGGGTACGAGCAGGGATATGATGATGTTGGCACCATTGGCCGAAGAAATAGCATCGACGACGATGACGAAGGCTAGGAAACTCCCGAACATCTTCATCATGCCAAAGATCTCCTACCACGGTGATGGCGGACCGCTCTAAATCTTAGCCGAGAGTAGTATTCAGAGTCGGGAAATACTCAAAGTGTACGTTTAGACCTGAAAGTGAAAAAATGTCATTCTTGGAATTTAGCCTCCAACAACGTTTTGCATGAAGTAACACCAATCATGTTCATATCTGACCCGTGACTGGGTTCATTTCGGCGAGGTTTAGAGCTGTCCTATGATATAATGTAACCAGAAAGTACAAAGGGGTTTAAAAGAACGGTTGATCATGAAATAGATAATATTGAATTCATTTACGCAACTGCATGGGAACGTCTTTACATGAAAAGGGGTGTAGCATGGCGAGACTACGTGTCTTTCGCGTTGCCTGACTCAGCCTACACCACGGGTGGCCAACCCGCGGCCCGCGAGCTCTTCTGGTGCGGCCCGTGGAGCAGTGAAAAAATACTTCATAAATGAAATGCAGCCACATATAGCAGCGATGAAGTAGGGTAAAACATTTACACGCAGCTATCTCTAATATTTCCATAATTTGATTTCATCTTTCACAACGCATTGACTCGTTACTTGGTGATACATTGACTCCTCAAATTCCCTCTCATTACATTATATTAACGACATTAATACCCGCATTAATATCACTCGCCGTGTAAATTTCAGTTTCTAATTCCTGCACGCAGTAACAACTGTTGTGATACACTGACTCCTCAAATTCCCTCTCATTATATTGTATCAGGCGCGTACGCAGGGGGGGGGGGGGGGGTTTGGGGGGTTAAACCCCCCCCCTTTGGAAATTTTTTGTGTGTAAACCCCCCTAAAAAAAACCTAAAACCCCCCCCTTTTGGATTTTTTTTTTTTTTTTTTTTTTTTTTTTTTTAATTATTAAAAAAAAAAAAAAAAAAAAAAAATTATTCCCATGGCCGACCTAAAAAAGGTGACCTTACCCCCCCCCAACGGAGCAAAATGTCAAATTTCCAAATTTCGAGACCAAAAAAAAAAAAAAAAGTGTCCTCTTACCCCCCCCCCCCCCCCCCCCCCCCCCCCCGCTTATTCAGCGGTCGGCTGAGTCGTTGCGATTTTTTTGGGACCAAAAAAAAAAAAAATGTGTCCTCTTACCCCCCCCCCCCCCCCCCCCCCCCGCTTATTCAGCGGCTGGCTGAGTCGTTGCGAAATTTTCGGACCGATTTATAAATGTTAAAACCCCCCCCTTGAAAAAATCCTGCGTACGCGCCTGTATTGTATTAATGACATTAATACCCGCATTAATATCACTCGCCGTGTAAATTTCAGTTTGTAATTTCCGTTTAATATGACATACAACTCTTTTCTCCCGCCGTACAATTTTCTCATGAATCTTAATCGTAAACTTTATAGTCAGTCCCCTTCCCTCTACACCGCGTTCAAGATGTACAGTGTACAAGTAATACATTTAGGATATTCTTTCTGCTGTGTCCTTGATTTTGATTGAAATAACAACCAACATGGCAACGACCTCGAGACCTGCGAAGAAAAGGAGAGTTTCTGATGAAGGCAGAAACTTTAAATCAGATTGGTCTCTAAAGTATTTCTTCATAGAAGAGAAAGGTGGACCACTTTACCTCATTTTCACCAGAGTATGTAATGGAGGTTAACAACATAGTAGAAAAGTGCAAGCCACAGAAATCACACTAAATATAAGCCTGATTTGTTTTTCTCACTGATCTTGTTGTTTGCTTGTTTGTTTTTGCAGAATTTCAGGTGTGTACACGTATTGCATGAGTGTGTGTGTGAGGGAGGGGGGGGGGACTAGCTACGGCCCGCCAAGTTATGCCAATCGTTAGCTGTGGCCCGCGAGCTTTAAAAGGTTGGCCATCCGTGGCCTACACGGACGACGCGACCGCAGTATTTATGTGCGTGCAACATACGCGAAACCGAAGCGTAAGGGGAACTTCGGTCTGTTTCGCGAACGCTAGCGCGCTGGCCGTTACATACATGTGTATCCGTTCATGTGCAGAGTTGTCCAAAAGAAATCATAGATGGCGATAACCAGTATTTGCCATGCTACACCCCCTTTAACTCATCAAGAAATACCTGTACAAATCCAATATACTTTATCTCAATTTTGTATCTACAACCTATGATTGTCTCATCTTTGACTCATTTCTGAAACTGGTGGCTACAGAAGAAGCGCAGGAGATTCACACCCCCTCCATTGCAACCCCCCCCCCCCCCAGTCCTTATTCAGACTATTAACTCTAATAATAAACGTGTTGGATCCTATGACCCGATCGCAGTTAGAATTACGTATTCACCACTTCGTCACACGTACGAACGAGACCGACAACAGACCAGCAACAGATCTAACAGAAAAATATATATATATAAATCGACCCCCCCCCGGAACGAATCGGTTTGTTTGGTATTGGTATGAAGTTGGTTTAGAGGTGTGATCGACTCGGAGGCATAATTAAACATAATTGCGGTAAAGAGAGAGATAGCTCGGATTAATGGTCGTTTTATACGGGATAAGAAGATGATACCTAAATAGTAAGATATCTATGATTTATCAAACTTACGTCTACACTGGAAGTGAGAATTCAAAGCACAAAATGCATAATTATTTGCTCAGACATTACCTCCGTTTTTGTCCACACGTAAACCTGTGTTATTTCTTGATAAACGTGAATACCGTACACGCGTTGACCGAACTGTACTATGGAATCACTTATTGGAACTTCGGTGCCGATCAATAAATATGACAATGGCACTTTGATCTCGCTTATTCATGCATACCTGATATGAATGGATGCAGTCAACGAGACGAGCAAACGAACTTTTCACGCAAAGGCACCGAAGGGGGCGGGGTATAAGTTCGGTGAAATACCGAGGTGGATCCAGGATTATTCGAAACAGAGATGATGCGGGTCTCCTGACAATTTTCCTGACAACTAGGAGAAAAAAAATATTGTTATAACTATGGCATTATTTTCTAAAAAAAGGGTCATTTGAACAGAAGTTATCCCAATCCTTAGGCCTACTCAAATCATTTTGGCATATCCCTGTTTTCTTCGCATTGGTGGCATTCAGGTTCCCATAGGTGCCAGTCAGAGTATATTACTGTATACACGCGTGACCACACGTTTCCAAAACCCAGGCTCTCAACAAGTTTTATCCATAGGTCAAAATCACACTCTATTCGCGTTTTCCGCGCTTTTTCTCGCCTTTTCTCAAAGTTTAGGGTTCCCCTAAGCAAGTTTAACTAACGTATCAGGACAATTACCCCCTGGACAATCATCCCCCGGAAAATTACTCCTAGAAAATTAACCCCCAACGACAAGCCCCCCCCCCCCCCTGCAAAACTACACCCTCGTGGACAATTACCCCCTCGAGGAGAATACCCCCCCCCCTGAAAACTACCCCTATGACATTTACCCCCCGGGAAATTACCCCCTATTCATTAATAAGGAAGTCTACCCTGGTAATAAGATGGTTTTAATAAAAGCACATTTTTTTCGGGAGGGGGGGGGGGGGTAATTGCCTCATTGTCTAAGGGGGTAATTTTCCGGAGGGGGGGGGGGGGGGGGAATTGGCCGAGGGGTGAATGACCAGGGGAACATTTATCATATCCATAGTTCTCTTTTGTAATTTTTACATTCAAGGTAAATCCATCGGCTGAGACAACGACAGCAACAAATTCACGCTCAAAGAATCGAACCGCTAATTACTATATAATTTAGAATAGTCAGTGATTAATGTATCAAACTTATTGGCCCGAATTCACAAAGGAGGATTGTCGACAAACCTAGGTTACTGTGCGTCATACACCCTGTATGTCGCGTTTCGATGCGTTTCAAACCAAGGTTTGTCTGAAACTTGGTCTGAAACGCATCGAAACGCGCCTTGTGATGCACATAAACCTAGGTGAACCTTGGTCTGAAACGCATCGAAACGCGTCATATGACGCACATACACCTAGACGTAGGTTTGTTGACAAACCTCCTTTGTGAATTCGGGCCATTTTGTTTCGATTGCATGTGCCTTGTAAAACCTGCATAATTGGTTAAGCCCCAAATTATTTGTCGGAATTATTATATTTTACATCCATCCATATGCACATTACACACAAGTACACAAGACAAGCTACTTCTAAAGCTATCTCTCCTAAAAACAAAAGTAACGCTTGGACACTATGAACATGACGGACAAAGAAAGCGGACAAAATATACAGTTCCTCATGTAGACAAAGGAACATCCCTTCACTGCTATTATGTAAAAATGTGTAGAACAGGTGTCACATCATGCATATTCACCTGTTCTACACATTTTTTACATAATAGCAGTGAAGGGATGTTCCTTTGTCTACCTGAGGAACTGTTTATTTTGTCCTCTTTCTTTGTCCGTCATATTCATAGTGGGAGCTGCTCCAAAGCTTTGGAATAACCTACCACGATACATAAGAAAAGACTCATCTGTTGCTGTCTTCAAAGTTTTGTTAAAGACGCGGTTGTTTTCAGGAGCTTTTGAATAATGTTTTACTGTGTGTGTAAAGTAGCACTGTTAGTAGTTTTGTTTTCATCACAACGCAGTAGATTATATTTATATTGTAGCAGCGTTATATACATTGTTCTAATTGAACTTAATTGAACAGTACATTTTCTACATCATTCTGTTAACATATTACGAAATTAAAGGCGTCCTCAAATATGAACAAATTTCTCCTCTTTAATCAGTTCCACACTATGTATTATGTATTCTTTATTATTTCATTTTATTTCATTTGATACTCTGTTTCAATATAAACATGATACAGTACATATGATTTCCATGATTTACATATTAATACAAGATAATCAATTAAGAACAGTCAACGTACAGAAAATGACCTAAAGCTTAGCTTATATATTGAGAACGGGGGCATGCCGTAGAGAGCAATGCATACACTCGAGTCTTACTTGAATCCAGATTTATTCTATTTTTCCCTTGCAATTTTGTATTCTATGCATCTAAGGGGCACATATTCTGATTCAGAGGGAAAAGGACGTTAAAAAAAAAAACTACATATTTCAGTGGTTATTTAGACTTGTAAAATGAAGAAGAAAAAAATTTATTCTACTTTGGTTTTCTTGCTTTTTAGACAACATTGGAAACATCGCTTACAACATGAATAGAGAAGTAAAACGATGACGAGTGCGATCCCGAGGATGAAAGCGAGAACGTCGATCGAATGAAGCTGGATGAAGCTGAGTTCCAAGGCTCTAGTTCTAAGGTGTGACCCTCCAAATTTGAGGATGTGTTCCACCCAGAAGACCACCGTTTCTTCCGGCTCACTCTGTCTATCCTTATAGATAGCCGAATACCGTTTGACATTCTCTAAGCAGCTGAAAAAGAAAAAGGATCAAATTTAGAAAAAAGAGTGTGCACCATAATTATAGAGACATCTCAATACGTTCGCTTACATCAATATTACGAGAAAAAAACGTAATCCCGATTATATCTTCGTATGAAAAATAACGTCGACGATTTCGAAAATAAAAAAGGAAAGAAATTCACCTCGTGTTCCTCAGAGATTCGGAATGGGATGTCATCCACCCGCCCCTCCCCCTCCTCCTCCTCCTCCACCTCCTCCAATCTTCTGCCCTTCAATTAACGCATTCGGGAAAGACGAGGGCCTTTTATAAGTACTTTTTTAAACTTCGAAATCTATATATTGGAATTTCATGTTGATATTCGAAAAGAGTAATTTAGAATTCACATCACAGTAAAACACACACGCACATATACACACCCAAATTTTCAAACCAGGTGAGCGCAGAGGTAGCGCAGCACCGCCGGTGTTTCTTTTCCTTTTCTTTCTTTCTCTCTTAATTACATGAAATTTGATTTAGGGTATTCCCCAAAATCGATACACTACAACAAATTAATAATAAACAGCAATGACATCATCGTTACCTCGGATTTTCGAGGACATCGACGACCGCTTCCTTCACGGTCTCGTACGTGATGGAGTCCTTCTCGAGAAGTGTGCCCATGCCTTTAGCCTTGACCCTGGCGCCGTTGTTCGGTTGTTCGGCGAAGATTGGCATGATGACCATAGGGACGGCGTGGTTGATGGCTTCGTAGACGCCAGCTAGACCGCCGTGGTAGATGAGCAGTCGGGCTTTTGGGTGACCTGTTAAATATCAAATATTCAAAGTGTTATCAGATATTTTCACATGGTGAAATCGTTTGTGTTTTTCAATTCAATTCAGTTTTTGGTTTTAGTACCAAAAAAGGCATTGCAAAAGTCCGAAAACTAACATTGTCAAGTGTTTACAGTATTTTAAAATACAATAAACATGAAACAATCCTATGAATATGTAATTTGACATATTAAAGTTTGATAACAACTAAATTTCAAAAAGAGAACGTGACATTATGTATTAAAACGATTTTGTTGAATGACAACTATTTCATTGAACTATAGTGGACAGATTTAAAACTTATGCAACAAAACAAAAACAAAAACATAAAAAATCCTTGAGTTACTTTTAGAAAGGGAAAAGTGTCGATTTAAGTTAATGATAATGTCAATACCATTCTAGCAGTGATAGATTAACTCAAAGATCATAGCTGCCATCACAGGAGAGTTCCTTTTAAAATACATTAATTATGAATGTGACAACCCATGTAAACTTGCTTTTCTTATCAAACGATGGGCTGATTTAGCAACATTTAAGATATTTCATAGAAAACGTTCATGTTATCGTTCAAACACATGTAAGAAGAAGAGATGAGCAAGTCACTACACCACAATTTTAGTCCAATAACATACCTAGTAGGTCATTTTGTGGCATCCAGTCTACCAACATGGTGTTGTTACCAAGGGAACGAGGGCGTGGCCCGGTATACCGCCAGATGACTCTCTGTGGAAGCTCACTGAAGACTCTCGCAAAGGCCTCTGCCGTTTCTGGGTTAGGAAACTCACTGAAATGTGTACCCTGCATGATTGTTGAAAATACATGTAAATAAATGATAAAATTTCACCAAATTCCATACCCAATAGTTTGCTTAGTTTGCAGACACAAACCCAAGTCCATCTTTTTGCGTAAAGCTGTCTGCACTTTGAGACTAGGCTAATAGCATACTGCATAATTATGCTCTGTCTTATTTTTCACATCCAGATACTGACAGTGCTAGGATCTGATCAAGGCTTTAGAAGTTGTGGTAAAGTGTCAAATTAGAGTCTCTTCTTGCAGACTATAAGTTGGTCATGTTTAATACGTTCTTACCCCAGTGGCTCAGTGTGGGTCCAGTCGTGGAGGAGGGGGGGGGGGGAGATGGGGGAGGGGTGCCAATGGTGTGCACCAGTCTGAGGCCTACTATAGGTAAATGAAAAGTGTCAATTATGTGTAGTTGATTTAAATCAGCCATCAAGTCCTTACGAATGCTTCCATTTCAAACATAAGGAAATTTACTGATATTGGTACATGCAACATTTTACTAGTTTTGACAGCTCTGTTACCACTCACCAATGAAAACAAGATGAAACCGTGTTCTCCCGATCCTTCAACGAATTCTGCGTATTCCTGTGATTAAATGAGAAGAGAAAGAGAAAGTGGAATATTGAAGAAGATGAGATAAAGGGAATACTTGAAGCTATCACCAAACGACATAATAATGATATCATATATTGATGGGACACTCCGACTCCGTACTTTGATCATGAATATTTAATTATTGCTTGACAGATAATGATTATCAAAACAACATAACCAAATATTTACTGGCAAATTTCTATTGTTGTTGAATAACTAATTCCCCCCCCCCCCTCCCATCATTAATTGTAATTGAAAATGTTATCATCGTCAATCAATCATCAACTATTGTCGCGATTCGTCTAATCAAGAAAAGGAGGACCGAGATTATGAACAAAGAAAAGTTTCATGGCCTGTGATAAGGTAAGGGTGCGTGTGCATGAATGTGTGGGGCGGTGTGTGTGTGTGTGTGTGTGTGTGTGTGTGAGTGATGGTGTGAGAGGGTCCGACTTACTTTTGGTAGATTCTTTGCGGGGGCGTCTGTCAGACCTCCTAGTCCTACATAATTAGGAACTGTAGGTCGAGGAAAATTAAAGGCGGAGCTCGTCATGCCAAACCACAGCTTTGCTGCAGCCTGTAGCTCCGGAATGCTTTTACCCGGTGCGATACCATGCTTGTCTTTCACCTTGTTCAAGGCACTAAAGTGGGGCCATGCAAATAATTTCCCGATGAAGTGATGCTCGAAGAAGCTTGCAACACGCTCGAGGAAGGACATCTTGTCAGTAAATGGAAACAAATCGAAGGGAACGTATGATGACGGGGCTGGGATACCAAAGGTGTGTTCGTGAAATAGCGGATATTTCGTCCCAGTCGTTACCGCAATGTGCGGTATCCCCAGGTAACTACTGAGCATCGCTTCACATCCGTCAAAGGCATCCCCGATGAGGATATCAAAGTCGGCTTCCTTCAGCTTAGCGAGCGTCGCAGAGTCCTCGAAAAGACTCACACAGCCAGATCGCATCAAATGGAAAATTATCCCAAAGACTTTCAGTTTCTGTTTCAAATCAGCTTCAAACGCAAGATCTGAGAAATATTTTTCAGGTTCCTCCGTTGGTAGCATTAAGTCAGGAGGTAACTCGTAGTTGTACTGGACGGACCTGCTGTATTCATCCTTCTGGAACCCTTTCGTTCCGACAAAATTACTGGTGAGGATGGTGATGTCATGGCCACGTCGTTGCAGCGCCCCTGCAATGGCGCTCAAAGCTTTGGCATGGCTACCGGCCATGGGCATGGTAACGGTTACGAGGATCTTAGCTCCCATAGCCGCAGGAACGGCACCGATGATGATAAATAGAGAAAGTGAAACCAAGAAGAGCTTCATCATGAGAAAGTTGTCGAGTTTCTCCGGTACGATGAAGGAATTTCGCCTCTTAATTTATCTACTGATGCTATTCTCTCTGAGAGCGGTATTCAAAGCTAGGAAACATTCAGTTGACGTTTGATCCACAGATATAAAATTATCTCCATCAATGTTTTACATGAAGTAAAACCAATGTGCCCACATCTTTTTTGTACCAGGGTGTCTTTGTTCGAAGAGAGATAGGACTTCTCTACGTTTGTGACCTAACCTGAAATATAAGAAGCGATTTGAATGTTTATGTATTTATCGTAATGTGTCGTCCAAGGAAGAATATCGCGATTACCTACAGTGAAAAGTACTAAGGGTTCATCTTTCCTTGAGAGAATTTCGGATAGACCCCTCCCCCTTACAGGGATAGAGAAACCTGGATCCGCCACCGGCGCGGCGATGTAAAACGTTAACCCCCGGCACCCCCGGAGACACAGAAATCGCTCCCAGTGCCCTGGTGTCCTCTATTAACTTTTGTACACCATAGGCCTACTAATGATGCGAATTAAACCTCCCTATCCAACCTCTAAGCCGCCTCTAACTAGGTATTCTAGCTTGCACTATACATTTTAGAACTTATACATATCATTTATATATTACTACACTTAACAGCACAGACAATAACTACTTTTAATTCATTAATAAATACATCCACTTTTTTGTTATACGAAAGAATGATTGATACCAACGTACGGTAGATCATATACTTACTCATTGGACGAATGCCAACAGTAACAGTGATCCAACTTGTCGAAGAGTTCGCGTAGAAGTGCACGTGCAAAAACGAGCTATACGCGAGGTCTACACAGATCGAGATCGAACTACAACGTTCGAAAATAATTATGATATCATGAGTCTGTGCCATTAGCAAACAATCAAATGTTGACCCACCTCTGTTGGGTGAATGCCAGGAGCTTGTATACTTTTTCTTTTGTTTCCTCTTCTCTCTCTTCTTTTTCCTTTATTTTTCAATGGGGGTACGGAGGGTGTTTCGGCCGATTGTAACTGCCTGCTCTCATGCGACTATTAACTCTAACAAGAGATATGACATCTGATGTCAAAATCCCATATTTTTTTTGTTGGTTTAGGGCCAATGATCTGAGCCGACACGTCATTGATATCAAACTGAAAAGACATAATGATTGATTACATTATGTAGAAGCTTTGTCTCGTAATTATTATTATTTTCTAATGTGATGGAAGTTTGGGAAAATGAATGATTATACATGCATCCTGTACCATTCATATTTGCCGAAAAATTGAGAATAAATACATTTTTGATCATCTCACCATAATCACTTTGGGCCTTTAATGCTTTGCATGCATTTAATAAGGTAGTTCTAGCTCAAAAGAGTCTGGTTATATCCAATTTGCAAACGATAGTAACTACTCGACACAGGTTCACGACGAGACCTTGTTGCTAAAAATAAAAAAGTTGTCAATTTTTTTAAACAGAGCAGCATATTATATTGAGAACACATAACCTCTTGTCAGCTGGGAGCAAATAATCAGAAAATATACAATAATCCTTTACTTTAAAAAAACGAAAACCTATATAAGCGCATGATTAGTATCCAACGATTTCGATTACTTTTGCATTATTATGTATGAAAATATATCATTGAAAGTGATCGGGTAAAAGTTTACTGATATATTTTGCTTAATAGTGTAATTTTTAAGTTTTCAGAAGGCCCCTGGGGGGGGGGGGTACTCAGATTTGGTTTGGACAGGGGTTTGTCGCTCAAGCCTTGATAAAATATGGGAAATTTGGGAAAAAAGTACTCATGTTTAGTGATATTATGGTAAAAAATGGGACCCAGGTCAGGGATTTTTGTGTGAAAAAGCGAATCATTAGAGCGGGCCTGAGCGGCACATCCCCGTATGACTTAATATGTGAGTACCCCCCCCCCCCGCCCCCGGCAAAAGGCACTTGAGATAACAATTTAAAAATTATATAACAACTCAAAAGAAGCATATCATATTCACAAACTATCTTTAAGGATTGTCATTTTTTATTCTTTACAAATGGTTTGGGATGTCTATATATCTTTACATGATTATTAATTCACATTGAATTCATGGCAACCCTTAATCATAATTTAATCGTCACCGGAAACATTTTAGTTCCGGAGCTTTACAATATCTCAGCATTGACCTTTTGACCTCATTATCATTTTGTTTATGTTCACTATCAATTGTTGGACCATAGACATTTGGTTGCACATTGAACAGACGAACTTTTGATAAGAGCACAGAACGAACCGACAGGGAGGAAGGAGGGGGGGGGGGGGTGAAAACCCTAGTCACAATTTTATGTCAGCAAAATAGGAATTAAAAAAAAAATCTTTATTTCGTTAAAGCCTTGTCGCGAAAAAATCAAACATTTATGACGTTTTGAGCGCTATTCCAAAGTGGTCTAGTTAAAAATGAATTTAAAAAATACGAAGATAAATTATATAACCACTTCAGACAAGTATCATTATTGTACCCTTGACGGGGTATTCGAAAATTTGATGACAACCGTCTGCTCATTCCCCCCCCCCCTCTCTCTCTCTCTCTCTCTCTCTCTCTCACACACACGTTCATAAAAATATATCATCTAAAAAATGTTCAGCTTTTGCTATTTTTTTTCACGCAGCATTTTCCACTTCTTCTTCTTCTTCTTCTTCTTCACGTGTAAACTAATATTTTTGGATTGGTCGTATAAGCAGACATGAAAAAGATACAATCGGAAAAATCATTCTACTTTTGATTTTTTCTACTTTTGAAGCCCCAGGACAGACAACGTTTACAACATGAATAGAGAAGGAAAACAATCACAGCTAAGATCCCGACGATGAAAGCGAGAACGTCGATCGAATGAAGCTGGATGAAGCTGAGCTCCAAGGCTTTAGATCTCAAGTGTGACCCTCCAAATTTGAGGATGTGTTCGACCCAGTAGACAACAACATCATCCGGTTTGAACTGGATATCTCTGTAGATTCTTGATATTCGCGTGACATTTGCTCTGTAGCTGGAAATTAAAGACACAGAAATATCGAGGTTATGAAAAATAGCTTATTAGCAGAGCTATTGAGTCGATGAAGGATTCATTAAATCCATATCTATGTTGTGCTGTAATCATTACTATAAACAAAAACATTGGAACTGATGATATTGAAGTAGAGATTAATGGAACTGTTGTACAGCGTTGTAATTCATTGACATTTTTAGGAATTCAAATTGATTATAAAATGTCATGGCACGTTCATATTGAAGCAATTTGTAATAAACTGTCGAAAGTAGTTGGTATTTTATACAAATTAGAACATTTCCCTTATAAGATTTTATTAATGATATACAATGCATTGTTTTTATCACAATTAAATGATTGCAATATTGTTTGGGCAAATTCAAATGATTATTGTATGAATAGATTATATAAATTACAAAAGAAGGCAATACGTATTATCTCAGGATCCCATTATCTTGCCCATACAAAACCTATTTTTGTCCGTTTTAAATGTTTTAATGTATTTGAATTGAATGACTATAATATTTTTATGTTTTTATGTCATAAAGGTATTATTCCTCCTAGTCTATCAAACAAATTTATTTTGAATTCTGAAATATATTCATTTATAACTAGACAATCATCTTATTTTCATATACCACTTATCAAAACGTCTGTCTCTAAAAATTCAATTTTCTTTAAAGGACCAATTTTATGGAATGAGTTACCTCCTAATGTTAAAGCAAGCCCAACTCTGAATACATTTAAAAGAGATACAAACAATTTCTTTTTTGTAAATAGTATTTTATTACCACACAAGACTTAATTGTTCTTTCTTGCTGGTTCCTCATTCGTATATATATATATATATATATATATATATATATATATATATATATTATGTTTATCTTTTCTTATGTTATTTGTATGTTCTTTGATTATCTGTAAATATCAATGTTATAATCATGTATGTTTTTATATGACGAATGAAATATATTAAATCTCAATAAAGGGTTATGAAAAGTTGGGTCTTATTTACCAATGATAGTCTTAACGGTATCAATACTGTTCTTCCATAGGCCCGGCAATTATTATCACGATTATAACACCAACATTAATTGTCATGGACGCATTTAATACACCTAGGGATTGAGGGACACAAGAAAACAATATGTCAAAGGAAGAAAGCACCGAGGAACGATCGAACCCGGGGCGTCTCGTAAGAGAGTCAACAATCTTAAAGGCACTTACGCGGCGGTTGCAATGGAGAAAAATATCTGTTTGCTGATGTTGTAAAATAGTTCGTGCACATACGAAATTCCGTCCCATCGAAAGTATATTAAGAATCAGCGAAATGGCCAGGTCCTCGGCAAAAATCGCTGTGATGTACAGTATACCGCAGTCAGCGCTCAGATTAATGAAATAACACCTTAGAGAATGGGATGTACAAAGACGATAGAGATACGGGACATCGTAATAAGCAATGGCATAAATTACCTTGGATTTATTAGCACTTCAGTCACCGCCATTTTGACTGTCTGATAAGATATTGAGTCCTTCTGAAGCCGTCTTCCCATCCCTCTGACCTCGACCTTGACAGCGTTCGATTCCTGCTCAGCAAAGATCGGCATGACGACCATGGGGACGGCATGGTAGATGGCTTCCAGGACCCCCTTAACACCACCATGGTATATAAGCAATCGGGCTTTAGAGTGACCTGTAATTTAGAAGTGTCGTAGTCGAGTGGTTTAAAGCACTTGACTTGAAATTTAAAGGTCGTGGTTCGATCCCCGACACGGCACTAATGAACTCCTTTGGCAAGACATTTATCTTCATTTGCCACACTCGACATAGTTGAGGTAAATGGGGACCTGGCAGGAATTAATTCTTTGAAATGCTGGAGCGCTGTAATGGCTGCTAGGCTAAAGACGGGTAATAATGAGTGCGCCTCGGAATAGAATTTCTAGATAGACGGCGCCATAGAAATGCCTATAATAATAATTATGTTGTATACAATCATTATTGCACGATATTGAAAAATGTATATACCGTAAGGATTGACTAAAGGAAACCCGACATTCTTGGATTGCGATTGGGTTCTAGGTTAGGTTACCGACTAGACGATGCTGATCAGAGTCATGAAAGGTCGTATGAATGGAAACAAGTCGAAAGGAAGAAGAGTTTTTTAGATGATAGCGTTGCAGAATGCAGAGTAGTATATAGGTACAGAGAAGCTGTTAGCTCAAGATCAAATCACTTGGACGGTCATTATTTTATTGTAGACATTGGATAGATCACTTTTGATGATTAATTTTTACTTATGCTTTTTTACATACTGTTAAAAAATACAGCCCACCAAACAGTGACAACTGGTTTGTGTATGAGTTTTCAATGTTTCACACGGCCTCAATGGAAACCAGTTGTCACTGTTTGGTGGGCTGTATTAGCTGTATGAGTTTTCAATGTTTCACACGGCCTCAATGGAAACCAGTTGATGAATTTCATGATTCGGTTAAGAAATGGACAACCGAACAATTGTCACCGGAGCATAGGCCTCGTTATCTTATATTCCTACTTGGAAGTTGGAGCGTAAAGGTCGAAGAGTTAAATTAAACAATGACTTAAAACAAACAGATTAGACAATTAATGTAAACACATACCGACAAGGTCATTTTGTGGCATCCAGTTTACCAGCATGGTGTTGTTACCAAGGTAACGAGGGCGTGTCCCTGTATACCGCCAGATGACTCTCTGTGGGAGCTCACTGAATACTCTCGCAAAGGCTTCGGCCATCTCTGGTTTAGGAAACTCCGAAAAATGAGAACCCTAGCATTCAATCGGAAAGAGAAAGCCGTAGAAAATAATGTTCCTTAATGTTTCATAAAAAAACAAAGTATTCTTTTAGTGCATTTGCGGATGACGATGGAAAGATGTGTGTGCGATACACGTTTTTTTTTTTTTTTTTTTGTTAACCTTTGTTTCTGTCGACTTATCCACATTCGGGCACATTCTTGATTTTTTTTTAAATGTAAATTTAATTGAACCATTCCTATACACCCACCAAAGAAAAGAAGAAATCCATACGATAGGGTCTGACTGTCCAATGCTTATTCACAAACTTTAACATGTCGAAGGAAATGGCATTCAAATTAAAAGTGAAAATCATACTACATACTTTTGTACCATGCAAATGCAAATATTCCCTACTATAAATGTGAAACGATATTCCAAGAATGTAGCACCATATTTCCCACTTAATGGCGCATATAAGCAACTGATAAATATTTTAAATATAATGAAATTAGAAAGACAAACTACTTACCAGTGAGAAAACAATGAAACCATGTTCACCTGATCCCTGAATGAAGTTTTCATAATCCTAAAGGGGAAGATGGGATGGAAAAGGAGGATGTTATCACAAAGAAAATTAAGTGATTGTTTTATAAGAGGTTTGATCTGAAAGTATTCGCCACTATCTTCTTAGGGCTGTTAGAGCTAGGGCCTCAGACTAATTAAATTCGGTTATATACGTTAGTGCACATTGGAGACCGTCATAAGAAAAAGTTCGCCGAGCATCGTTGCAAATTACTTCATTCCCCTAGTCAGAATACTAATTGCATACATTAAATGTTGCTGGGTAGGACAGATAATATAAATTGTCCTACCTAACTTGTAACAGGTGAATAAAATAATTTGTAACGAGGCCCTTTACACAGATTTTTGAATTAAATTTGATTACATGATAGAAATGGCCTTTAAGTACAGTCATTTTACAGAAAATGGCCTCCCATCAATCGCAACAGATAATATTTTAACTGTTTTAGTATCGTGGAAATGCACTTAATAACAGTCATGTAAAAAGAATCCAAGGAATCCAAATGGTGGAATTAGGTGTTTAAAATACCCCAAAATCAAGAATAACTATCAATAGACCCGATTATACACATATAGCCAGGCAAACTCGGGATTAGTTATACGGTGTATGTGCTAGCTGTGGCATCGACGGCTATGACCAAAAGCTTACAGGGACGCCCTCTGATGATAGCAAAAGTATCACTATGTGAATTTTTGGGAATAAATTTGGTTTATTAGCGTTCAAGAAAGAGAAAAACAGGATGAGGAAAGAGGATTATTACGGAGAAAAATATAGAGAGTCAGATAGAGAGAAAGAGAGAGAGAGAGAGAGAGAGAGAGAGTGTGTGTGTGTGTCAGAGATAGAACAAAAAGGCAAGTGGGGGCAGACTTAGTAAGTATAATATATCAGGGGATGTGTGTAGACCGAGTGAAAAAAAATTATTTTTCATAAAACTCTGCTTCAAATGATATTCAGGCATTTAAAAAGTAGACATTGCTAAACATGACACTTATTTTAATACGAGTTTGATAATAGGGGGGGGGGGGGGTTCTCAGACCCGAATTACGGAGTATTTCTTTAAACCATGGATTATTATATTCATATAAATAAGTGGCAGGGGGAGTGGTTATATCTTCTGAATCTTGTTTCTAGTCAAGCCTCTTGTAACATTAACGTTGGAAGAGAATGTGAATAGAGAATGACAATATTTAATATGTCTATTTTCGAACAATAGTGTCATAGTTTTAATAGCAACTACTGGTTTACTTTGGATGTATCGTAGTAATCATATAAAAAGGCACGTTATTATTTTTGCTCGTCACAAACCCCCACGAAATAAAAAGGACCTGCGGAAGAACAAACATTTGCTGAAGTGGTGCCGTGCAAAAATAAAATAAATAATTAAACTGAACCCCTTAGGAAAATGTCCACTCCACTTCCACGACAATTACCCCCAATAATTACACAGGGAGAGTTAACCAGGGGTAATAGTCCTCGGGAATGTTTATCCTAGGGGGTACAGTTTTTCTAGGTAGTTTTCCGGGGTAGTTTTCCAAGGGGGTAGTTGAATGGGGGACTTGATCGGGTTACTGGTAGTGCTATCTAAACAAGCCAAACTTACATGTATATACAAAATATGAATTTCAATATAACATGAATTACCTCGTGTAGTGGCTTGGCAGGGGTGTCTCCAATATTCCCAATGGCCACCCAGTTGGGGGCGATAGGGTGAGCAAAATCAAAGGCAGGATTCGTCATGCACAGCCACAACTCCGCCCGAGCTTGAAGATCAGGAATGCTTTGTCCCGGAGCGATACCATGTTTGATTTTAACCGGGTCCAAAGCTCTGAAATGGGTCCATCCTATTACATTTACAACAATGTGGTGTTCAAAGAAGCTGGCTATGCGCTCGGCAAAGGACATCCTGTTTGACAGAGGAAGAATACCAAAGGGCACGTATGATGACGGGAAGGGGATACCATACACGCGTTCGTTGAATAAAGGATATCTCTCTGCGGTCGTCACCGCAATGTTGGGTATTCCTAGGTAACTACTTAGCATCGCATCACATCCGTCAAAGGCATCCCCGATGAGGATGTCGAAGTTAGATTCCTTGAGCAGAGCCAACGTCGCAGAGTCTTCAAAGAGACACCGACAACCATGCCGCAGCACAGTGAAAATCATCCCAATCACTTCAGCTTGTTTCGTCAGGCTTGACTCAAACGCAAGATCAAGAAACTCTCTGTCAAGTTCCTCCATCGGTGGCAGTTCTTGAGGATACTCGAACTTGTACTGGATGGACCTGTTGTAGGTGTCTGCCTGGAACCCTTTTGTTCCTTCAGAGGAACTTGTGACGATGGTGACATTGTGGCCGCGTCTAGTTAGGGCTCCTGCTATGGCTGATAAACCATTTACATGGCTACTTGGCGCCGGTATGAGTAGTGTTACGACAATGTTAGCACCCCTTGCCGTAGATAGGACGTCGATGACGACAAGTATAACCGTTAAACTCTCCCAAAGCTTCATCATGATGACAATGTTGCCATCGGTGCCTCCCAGTCAAACTCCTATGATAAACTGAACACTGTAACCTTACTCATCCTCCACAACATTGATATTGCCTGTACCAAGCGTCCGCCCCCCCCCCCTCTCTCTTTGTCTCTGTCTCTCTAAGCCTTTTCGTAAATACTATCTGCGCATGAGCAGATAAAGGTCATTTCTGATAAAATTGTAAGACCCACCGACAGGAATACCTGCTCATGGTATGTAATTAGTATTCATGTGTGCACCTATGGTACATTCTTATGATACAAGAGGGCAAACAAAAGCTTTTCATGAAGCACATACATCACATTGGCATTGATTATTCCAAAATACACAAAGTGGGACTTCTCCATGATTGAGTAAAAGATCTGTGGATATTTGGGGTCATTTGACCCATGTGCTAACTACGAAATGGTCAATATTACAAATAACAGTAACATGGCGGCTGGCTTAAATGCTGCCTAGGGAGTGGAGAATGTGCATACATTGTGTGCGGGCAACCCGAATCCAATGACTCGGGTAATAATACTTGTAAAAGCGCTCAGAGACATCGTCTTCGTATTAAGCAGTATATAAACCCAGAATATTATTATTTTTATTCTTCTTATTCTAATTAGTATTACAACAGATAGAGCCACGTTAACTCTTGTAAATCAATTACCCACGGTACCCACATCAATATGAAAACTGCTCTTCCTGTCGGCCCTGATTGGGGATGATAATAACATAAACACGATAAATAACAACAACCATTCAGGAAATCAACTCGAGGGCAATTGTAGTGACCCACTGTATAGCTTTTAGCAATCATATGCAGATGTTTGCATATTTCAATGCATAATGCGCTGAGCTGTTGTAATTGCCCCTAGTTGACTGCTTGAAAGTATTAGCAATCTTATTCCAGTAATTTTTGTATTTGATATGAGCATTAAAATATAGCTAGAAATGAATAAACCGATGTAAATCATTTTTTTAAAGGTAAGACGAAGGAAATAAAATGTAGATTTCGTTAAAAACAAAATCACAATCAAACTCATAATGATATGCGACCCCCTTTCTATCGCTGAAATTACACCCCCTCTTCCTCTCGTACCCCTTCCATCCACATCTCCTCCCTCTTATATTTATTCTTCCTTATCTGATATCAACGCACCCAAAGCAGATACAATAATTACGCCATATTTTTTACCATTCTCCCAATCGCGCTTTCTAGATATTGTGGCAGAATAGGGGGATTAAGGGTGGTTGATAACCGAAGAGGAAGAATAAATATAAGAGGGAGGAGATGTGGATGGAAGGGGGTACGAGAGGAAGAGGGGGTGTAATTTCAGAGAGAGAAAGGGGGTCGCATATCACTTTGCCACCAAAATCAAGTAAATATTCTCAACACGGTAAGCTGCTACCATCTAGTCTTAATTAAGAGCGCTAGATTCTCTTCTCTTTACAACTGAACGGTGTAAAGGGATAAAATACCGTACCAGACCTGCTAGATCACACAATAAACGATAATTAAATGACGTAATTATTCACAAATCACAGCCTTCTCATTGGCTCATACGCACCTCTTTAAATTCAACACAACACAACGCACTCGATGGTCAAACTTTGACCTGAACCCTGGGCTCTCGTATACATTTGCGCTCGATTCAATCAATGCCACGAGCAGCCTGGCTCATCTCCACTCCGTTCATCACTTCAAATAGCTAGTATTTCTCCATTGAGGTGAGTTAAATCATCATCTTAAGATCTGAATTATTCTCTATCAGTACTCTGTAAACATGATTTAATCCTAAGATTCGTACTGGACTTGTACAGTTCAAATTCTCTAACGATCTGCACGACATACTGAAAACATGTGACAGAGCACTTTCGTGTCCTGTACACGCAGTCAATCAAACACATTATTTCCACTTTTAACTTGGGGCGCTTTCTCTCATGTCCTCTGTCATATTCCTCCTATAGGGTAGCGAGCAATCTAAAGGCACAATGACATGGATAAGTGTCTGAATAGAACCAGACAATGATTTCGTTCTCGAAGTTCTCAATTGCGCTATCTAAAGAAGATGTAAACGTACCAATCACCATTCACACTTAACTACTGTAACTAATATGTAACCAGACATGTATTACTGTAAGAACGAATCTGTCGGCCTAAATTGTTCAGGTGAACAAATAACAACAAGTAACACTTTATTAATAGATTTCAACTAACAGTGAGGCTTTCGTGCCTAATTCATGTCAACGTTATTACATTCAAGTATGTATACAATGCAAATAGTACAAGAGTTTAAATGTACATTACAGACAGATGCAGTGTCACTTTTTCCCAACAACAAATAATTTACCTAAGTGATGCTAGCTTAAGTATGGATTGTATGCTGTATTATGTAAACAGTTCTAGGGACAGGTTTAAGATGTAACAATATTAGATCTCTAGCAACTGAATTCTACTCCAAATTGTACCATTTCTTTTCTACGAAAAACATAAGAAATTGATTCTATTCCGGGCAAAACACCACATAGCCTCTTCAACTTACGATCAATCCAGGCTGACCAGCAGCCATCCAATAATCACTCCATTCAAAGTTTGAGTCCAAATATTCAAATGCCTATCTTCTTATTGTCAACAGCATAACCTATACCTTCGTAGTCATTGCTCAACGGTTCTTTTACTAAAGGGTCTATCCACCCATAGTCTAAAATGCTAGCTCACTTTGTCGGCTACCCATGTGAATTTTAATACCAAGGTCTCTACGATGAGATCTACGAATTCTCAATTCCTATACTTATCGCTAACTTCCAGAATTATTTAATCAGTTTTAAACGCACTTCAATCCAAAGACAACCGGTTTATCTAAGAATTCGTTCCTTGGTGTCTGTAATTCAGTGCTAAACCTACATTTGACTGTCCACTATCGATAATTGTCACACATTGTTATTAGCTGTAATAAACTCTTAAGTAATCATTTATTCAAGGTTTCTAACTGTACAAATCCTGAGTGTCAAGAGAGAAAGAGAGGGGAGAGAGAGTTTGTGATTCACAACATTGTTTTTAGATCAACTACTTAAATTATATTTACATATAGGAGCAAAGGCATTGCTAAATTAGGTAAAGGACTGACTGCCGTTGTCCTCTATATACAGATACATTAACTAGGTATCTACATGTATGTACAGGTATAAAATATTAAACAAGTTTAAATTGTCGTGTCACTATAAATAAACTAAGAGTTAAATTTAACCTACATTGTAAATCTTAATCTTAATCTTAATCTAAAGAATGCCTCATATTTTAAGGCACTGGTGACATCACGTGACAAATGGCCAAAGCCTCTCTATCCCAAACTTCATGTTTTTACTGAAGTCTGTGGTAATTCACCTTATAAATTTGAGACAACTGGGTAGATAACAATGCGGAGGCGTGGTGTCAAATCGGTAATCCAATGAGAGTGGAAACTGAGTAAGATTGACAGCTCGACACTCCCATTTATACCCTCAGGGGCTGCGTAGTCTAATTACGTGAAGCATATAAAACATGCTGATTGGTTATTAAACTTACGCGGGTATGAATATTCATACAAAGTCAACTTTCGAATCTTACTACATAATACATGTACGTTTTCATGAATTAACACTCAGAAAATAATTAGTATGGATGTATCCCAATTATAAATGATTTCTATTTTAAAGGTAATTTACTGAGGAAACTAGCAGAATAATTATTGTCTTCTAGGGCATTGGTTAGGATTTACATGAGTGATGTTACCACTGTTTGAAAGATTAAATCACCAACTGTGTCTTCCGTGAAACTGTGAAATATAGTAGTCCCGTCCACAGACCATTATGTTTTGTTTACAGTGCTAAAATTAGGGAAAAGACCATTTTTGCTAACCCGCTACAATATTTTCTGCAATACTGCCAGCTGAAGTATTTCGTCCGTTTAAAGTCTGTCACATACGGGCATATAGAAAAAGATAACACCTACACATTTATTCTACTTTTGATTTCCTTTTTTTCGAGCAGCAAGATAAACATCGTTTACAACAAGCATACATAAGTAAAACGATGACGAGTGCGATCCCAACGATGAAAGCGAGAACGTCGATCGAATGAAGCTGGATGAAGCTGAGTTCCAAGGCTCTAGATCTCAAGTGTGACCCTCCAAATTTGAGGATGTGTTCCACCCAGAAGACAACGGTTTCATCTGTTTCAGTCTGCCTGTCTGCATAAAGTCTCGAAGACCTTCGGATATTTTCTGAGTAACTGGGTATATAAGACGCCAAAAATAAATATTTGTCATGCTTCGGACGATTATAATTGAAAGTTTAACCTTGTTGCCGATGGTGGATTTTAGCATATAAGTTTGATTTACGTAAAGTGCCATGTTTAAAGACTAAGTCCACTCCAAAAATAATTTGCTTTAATAGATGCATAAAAACATGAGAAACATAGCAAAACAAATTTGAGTAAAATCGGATAACTAATAAGGAAGTTATGAATTTTTGAAAAAGTATGAAAAACTCTGGAACAATGGAAATCACTACACAAATTGCCAATCTGGTTATCAGTTTGTGACGTCATGTCTTCACTATTTATCAATTGCTTTATGTATTTTAATGCCATTAATTTCCTTCTGCTTCTATTGAATTAAAGTAAGTTATTTTGGGAATGGACTTGCCCTTTAACACATTCAGTAGGATACAGGCTACCATTTATGATATGATAACTCTACTTGCCCCCCCCCCCTCCCCCATGGTTAAAAGTTCTTTAATAGTACATATACTTAAAGTAATATTTTTAAGGTCAGTGAACACAGTACAATCATTCTCATATGTATTCAATGTTTATTAGAGGATATATTTTGAGGAGCACTGCAGTGGAATAAATTCTTTTGAAATTATTTTTGGGTTACCCTTCTAAAATTCGCTTTTTTTAACTGGACTAAATGGGTTACCTTGGATTGTCCATCACTTCAGTCACCGCCGCCTTAATTATCTCGTACGATAGAGAGTCCTTCTGAAGCCGTTTTCCCATTCCCCTGACCTCGACTCTGAGGGCGTTTGATTCCTGCTCGCCAAAAATCGGCATTATCACCATGGGAACGGCATGGTAAATGGCTTCCATGACTCCTGCAAGTCCTCCATGATAGATCAGAAGTCGGGCTTTCGGGTGACCTGAAAATGGCACGATGAAAGTACATAATAGTGTATCTTGACATTTACCTTAGGACGACTGCCCCTTTCGGCAAGTCACTCCTAAACAACTCTCTTGGTGGAATTCCTCTGAAGACTGGGGTAAGATATCTTTGGATTAGACCGGTTTACTAACATATTCAAAAATATGGATGTTTCTTTTCTGGGGACCTATAGTGACGAGTTATTCCATTAACCTGTTATTAATGAATGAACTACAATACTTGGAATCCATTCTGCACACATTACTTGTTGTTATGTCGACAGGCCTCGGGCAAGATTTCAGGTTTTCAAGAACAACCTTTGATTAAAAATTATGAGTTAAAGTTGAATATGTTAGTAAACCCGTCTATTGACTTAGGGGGGTTTGTCTAGCTGTGGTAAACATATCTATCATGTAGGCCCTTTTCTGTTGAGGGTTTATGTGACCAACATTGTAGATCTCGTGGGTAGATGGATCTACAGGTATGTCCCATTGACGTCCAAGAGTGGTTGTCTAGGGATAGTTGTACTGGAATAGACTTAAAAATTATCATATCCACAGCCATGACGGAGAATATTTCTTATTTGATTGACCGCAGGAGCGATACGGCAATGTCTCTGATAAAAGAATGTTAATCAAAATATTATATAAACCCCAAATGAGGACTTGCAGGGCACCGATACAAAAACAGTTGCAATCTACCGCAAAATTGCAATGGCCAATCAATATCATCGTTGCCTGCATATGTTGTTCAAAAGGCAGACAATCACAATTCTTGCTTAAAATTGGCAATAGACTGCAACTCTTCGTGTTAGGGGGCCTATATCATTCACTTTACGTTTGGAAGAGATAAAACCGATTCATAATTAACTTGCTTTGAATAACTAAAGAGAATACAATTTGGGGGTTCTGAACTTGACTGTGTGAGATAAATCATTAACATAACAATAAAAGAATACTAGAAAACTCTACATACCAACAAGGTCACTTTGTGGCAACCAGGAGTCGACAATCATGGTGTTGTTACCAAGGTGACGAGGATGTGGCCCAGTATACCGCCAGATGACTCTCTGTGGAAGCTCACTGAAGACTCTCGCAAAGGCCTCTGCCATTTCTTCCTTAGGAAGCTCTGTAAAGTATGTACCCTGAGGTTAAAATATAAATACACTTGTATCAGCACATCGGCTTCTTTGGCGACTATAAATATCAATTATTTTTTTTCTTCTGAAATATTAATCAGTTGTCACACTTGGCCATGTCAGTACGGACGCTAAATAAGTTCGACCAAGGAACACCTCGTTCCTCCTTGATTCGACAACGACTAAGCTCGCCATAACTCTTCGAAGACTCAGGAAAATACATCAGCTTTGGCATATATTATTTCTACAAATGAGCTAGTTGACATGGACCTGGGAGCCAGAGTTCTGTACCGGGGGTGCATGCTACAGGAGCTATCAAAAGGGCACCCCAAAATATGAGGACCTTTTCTACCAGAGAATATATGCACTGAAAAATCACCCCCACTAAAATAATTTTTAAAAAAGATATGAGGACCCAGTCAGTATAGTGGCTCTCATGTGCCTGTTAATGGTCTCGCACCGAACTACAATGTGAGAGACCAGGAATTTAAGGCAAAAGTAAAATGGTCTCTTTAAAATGTATTTTGTATGGCCAGACAGTCAGATTCTAATCAACCAAATCAACCGTCGGTTCTTACCAGTGAGAATACGATGAAGCCATGTTCACCCGATCCATCAACAAACGCTTTGAATTCCTTCAGTAAAAAGAGAGAGAAAAAAGATACAGGGAGGGCAGAATAGATGCCATTAAAAAACATTTAAAAACATATGTAATGAGAAACTTGATTTTATGACCATAATGAAAATGCACATTTATGTGAACGTCAAATGATTTTTTTGTTAATTGAAATTGAAGACGAATGTTGTTCAAAAGACTTTTTTTTTGTGTTTCTTTCCCAATTGCAATAACATCATAATTAATTGCATTGCTGATATAATAAGAATATCGAAGCTTTGAAAATCAACTGTCTGCTGCTGATGTGTGAGGGCCATATTGGTGCTTTCATTCTTAATAACAACTGAATATACCGCAATTATCCTTACAAGTTGGATCTCATACGAGAAACTCTCAGTACTGTCAATGTTTCGTCAACACCTTCACCAGTGGCAGTGCGGGGATGAATGCCACCAAAGTTTTGTAGAAATCTAAACGTTTCATTCAACATGGTCAAAGAAGTTGATGATTTTCTTTTGTCCTAATGTGACGTCATCAAACATCGCTACATTTTCTGGCGGAGCGCTCGTGTAATCCTTAGAGGTGCCTTACTTTTCCGATACGCAGTAGACTTTTAAAAAAAAAACCTATAACGATTGTCATCCGCAAGCTACTGGTTTCTATTGATCATACTTGTAATTTTCATGAATCTCTACTTTGAATCCGTTCTGTAATATTTACCTTTTCCAATGGCTTCGCTGGAGCATCGGCAATACTTCCGATAGCCACCCAATTAGGAGCGGTGGGGTGAGGGTAGTCAAAGGCTAAGTGCGACATGCTCATCCACAACTCTGCTCCACCTATAAGATCTGGGATGCTTCGACCTGGAGCGATACCATGCTTGTCTTTAACCTTGTTTAAAGCCCTGAAATGAATCATCCCCATGAGATTAATAGCAACATGATGTTCGAGGAAGCTAGAAATTCTCTCGAAAAAGGACATTCTGTCTGATAGGGGGAAGAGGCCAAAAGGAACGTACGAAGACGGGGATGGAATTCCATACAGGTGTTCATTAAAGAATGGATACCTTGCCGAGGTCGTCACTGCAATGTTTGGTACCCCAAGAAAATTACTGAGCAAAGCGTCACAAGCATCAAACGAGTCACCGATGATAATATCAAACCTCGATTTTTTAAGCAGAGCGAGCATTTCATAGTCCTCAAAAAAGCTCTCACAGCTGCTTCTCATTAAGGAAAACGCTTTCCCGAGTGCCGTCAGTTTATCAATTACGCTTGTCTCAAATGCGAGCTTCAGTATTACTTTTTCAGTGGCCAGGGCCTGTGGGACATCGTTGAACTTGTAATGAACGGCACTGGTGTAGGTGTTCCTCTGAAAACCTTTTGTTTCTGCGAATGAGCTGGTGAGGACTGTCACGTTGTGGCCGCGTCTGGTCAGCGCTCCTGCGATGGCGGACATGCTTTTGGTGTGGCTAGAAGCCGCTGGCATGAACAGAGCTACAAGGATATCGGCCCCATTGGTAACAATTATGACATCGATGGTGATTACCATCAAGGACAACACAAAACTCTTAAAAATTACCATGACGTCAGAACTTGATCTCCGCTTCAAAAGACACCACCACTTCTTGTTGGAATTACGTCAAATCCAAAGTCTGTATGTAAAACAAAACAGTCGTGAATAACATGTGATTAAGATGTACTTTTCATTTATAATGTACCAATACTTCTATTCATAAGTAATGTTGATCTACAATAAGTATAAACAATGCATAGTTGAAGTTCAAGTCTAAATGAATTAATTCCAAGTTTTATATAAAGCCGATGGTTTCTTGTTCTTTTTCTTTGCCGATGCTTGCCTACTTTAGGGTGTTTTGTGTAAATTTAGGGTGTTGTTTTAATTCATGTTAAGGGTGTACTAAGGGTGTTACTTTTTGTAGTTTAAATTAAATTGTAATATATGTCTCTTCGTTTAATTAATAATTTGTGTGTAGTGAATTTCTTCCGGAACCCCTCGGGGGAACAGCGCCACCATGCATGATCCAGGATTTCTTAGGGGAGAGGGCCCAACTTTTTTTTTTTTTTTGCTCCCAAAAATGTTTAAATCGCGCTGGCCGAAAAGTCGCTCAGCGGGGGTGGGGGGGGGGGGGGGGTGTGAGCTCTATTTTTTATTTTTATTTTTTTCTTTTTTGCTCCCGAAAATTAGAAAATCGCGCCGGTCGAAAAATCGCTCAGTGGGGGGGGGGGGGGATGGGGTAGTGGGGGGGCTCAACCCCCAAAAAAGGTAAAAATCACGTGCCCGGCCCCCCCCCCCCTCCGGATCCGCCACTGGCGGATGGACATGTAGCCGTTTATCTCCTAAAGTATGTGTACATATTATGTAATTGTACTTCTTTTTATACGGAAATAAATTCAAATTAATTTTAAATCAATTTCAAATCAAATCAGTTTCAATTTTATTTATTTCCAGTAAAAGCATATACTCAATACAAATCAAAAATACATCACGGATGCAAATCATGAGTGCAATATATTTAAACATTTACTTACATGAATATGTAACCCCCCCCCCCCCCCCCCCCCCCCCCCCCCCCCAAAAAATAAATTAATAGATGTAATAACACATAGAATAATATTTTAAAAGAGAAAGCTTAGACAACCATAAACAAATTTTGGAAACAAAAATTACAGCTTAAGATTAACAAATCAGAAAATAGGTGGAATTTCTTTAATTTTCTCTCAAAACTGTTATAAAAAACAATTTGTGTGATTCCATTTGGAAGAGAATATGGTATGTAACTGGCAGGGGCGGCGATTTCTTTTCATGACTGGGGGGGGGAGACGAAATGCGAGGGACGAGGGAGCAGTGGCATAATGAACAAAAACAGGGGGGCAGAAAAAAAATCTACATCACCACCACTCTTAAATTTTACGCTGGCCCTGGGAACGTTTTTCAAAGTGGGGGTGGGGGGGGGGCTAAACTAGTAGCGATCAGGTAGCGCAAAGCAAAGTGTAGCGTACATTGGCGTGGGGTTCAGGGACAAAGCCCCGGCGGTGTCAAGGGGCGGAGCCTCATGAAGGATAGGGGTTTTAGGCTTTAATTACGGTCAGATGAGCATATCTTTTTACCTTATTTGTGACACTGGCATGCGGGTCACTTATGGGAGTGGGGTCCAGGGGCAGAGCCCCCAGAAGCCAGGGGTTTCATGCATTAAATCACGATCAGATGAGCATCCAGGGGCCGCATTAGGGCCCTTGGTGGGGTCCAGGGACAGAGCCCCTGGAGGCTCAGGCGTTTTAGGCATTTAATTACGGTCAGATGAGCATCCAGGGGCCACCTAAGGAATATTGGTGGGGTCCAGGAGGCAGAGCCCCCGGAAGCTCAGGGAAAATCATGTCATTTCAACATCATTTGTAAATCACTGGTATCGAATTAGAAATAAACCACGATTGAATTTCATTTTGGGGGAACTGCTCCCAAAGCCCCCCCCCCCCCCTCCCCATCAGTACGCAAGTGTGAGGGAGCATAGTGAATGAGAGGAGTAAAGGTGACGGAAGTGACTAACCCCTCACAAGTTTTGTTGTATTAGAAAATTACATTCCTTAGCAAAATAATAGTATAACAACAAGCAATATACTTTTTTCACACTTCAATTTTCTGGGTATTTACTTGTAAATTTTGAAGGATATTATGCAAGGGATCGTAGCTACCGAGTGAGAAGATTTTTGCGTTTTTATTTGTCTAAACGCTGCACTCTTGGTCTTTGGTCAGTATTTGCTATACATTTTTGGGGCACTTTTTCAAATTTTGAAGGGGGCAATAAAATTGAGGGGGGACGTCCCCCCCCCCGGGATCGCCGCCCCTGGAAACTAGTGCTTTGTGTGTAACATTTTGTTTAAATAGCTTCTAAGGTAATGCAAATCATTTATTTTGTCATACATTGCATCAGTTATACTCGCTTAACGCAATATCTGTGAATAAAGAGACTCGGCCAGCTATAAATTAGCATGGCAGTCATCTTGGGGGGAAAAAAAGGCAAAATAGTAAATAGTAATGACCTGCCTCCTCATTTACAAAAAAAATGTCCGGACCAGAAACACGTTATTTTTTTATTTGGCCTAAAAGACCTTCGAAGGCAACCTAAAGCACTTCCAATATGCGCTCTGAGCATGTTTATGTATAAATGGCGCTATATAAATATAAATATGTATGTATATATATATATATATACGTCACCGTTCGAAATGCGTAAAACATACAAATTACATGTAACACACACTCCAAAGTCCAAATATGAGTTTTGTATGCAAAATGCCTGCAATACGACATTGGAATTGCAGTCGAGTTGATCTCGTTAAAATCTTTGCAATCGTTTTCAGTATGATGTAAAGAATAACATGGGTTTAGACCCAAGCAACAAAGATAATCAAAGGAGACCTAGTAGTACGATTTAACTTACATTTACACGAAGCCTTCGTGGTGTACTTGTTTCATGATGTTGCATGTACCCTTGGCCTTGGTGCTGTGGGTTAAATCAACTTGCTTTGTACTCCTAACGGGTGCGCTTCTCGTCCATACATGGGACTAAAACCACAATCTTTGTCCACTCATACAACATCGACCTTTTGCACTTTTCAAATCCGATGTATTGCGTGAGAGGGACCAATCAATTATTAATGGCGCGTGGGATACACAATAATACTGCCCTCACCTCCCCCCCCCCCCCCCCTTGACGCTGAATTGTGCTCTGCCATTCATATTGCAAAACCCTCCAAACAATCGTGTACAAAAGACGTTTGATGTACATGTGCGTGCAAGCAACCCTGTTCAGCTATAGACATTAAACTGGTCGCAATACATATTTATTTAATAATCAATATTTGAACTTTTAACTCCACGAGGCCACGAAATTGTTTAGGGGGTTGAGATATCAACTCTATTGTACTCCTCGTGTCGGGTTACGGTATATCAAATGGATTGCGTGAGCCGAGAGGATCAAAATATGAATACCCCCCTGTATTAAAGAACTGCCATTCTCTCACAGTTTTCAAGGAGTGTCTGAATACACATCTTTTCTAATAAATTTCTCTTCATCTTTCTCTTTGTTTGTAATAAATGTAAACTTCGAATGATAATGTTCTTTTTTCCTTCTTTGTAAGCGTTTCTGTTTTTATGCACTTTGAAAAAGGCGCTTTATTAATGAAATGATATTGTTATCGCTATCCGTTGGTAGGTTTGATGGAGAGGTGTATCCGGTTAATCGAGGGGGTTGTGGGGAGGACTAGATAATAACATTTAATCACAAAAACAGAGGCCGTCACCATGACGGATCCAGGGGGCCGAGGGGCTGCAGCCCTGCAAATTATGGGAAAAATCGTGAAAATTAACAATTGAATTTTATTGAATTTCAATGGTAAAAACATTTGTAAATGACAAACGAAGTCGGTCAACACATGCACTTTCGGATCGTTGAAAGAAGGAAGTCATTATGGTCATATAGGATATGGGGCTGAAAATGGCTTTGCAAAGTGGAAGGATATGTTTACTGTTGCTGCTGTTGTTGTTCTTTATTCTTTAAAATTGTTGTTTGTCAGAGATTTGTTTGACTTCCGCCTGTATAATAAGCGGAGGGTCAAAGTAAGAAAAGAGGGGTACGTTTGCCTGCTACTACCACACAAACTAAGGACACCTTGTTTAGTCGAGAGATTGTTTCATAATACACAATATTTCAGTGTTGTTTTTTTTATTTGTAGTTGTCACCCCTAAATCGTAGGGGGCGTCCCAAAAAGTGTCCCGTTTTACGAAAAATAGTATTTTGTAAATAAGAAAACCTTGAATCACCATAAATGTTTTCATATGAAAGAAAATCAAATTATCTACATTTAGATACTTCAACGGATTTAAGATTAATTAACAATTTTAAGTAAAAAAAATGATATTTTTTTGGTGTGTGATCTTTTTATTTAAAAAAAAAAAAAATTATCAAAGAACGTCATTTTTCATGTATCAAAATCGGAGAGATGTCCTTTTTCGAAAGCTTCCGGGAATTTGCCTATGAACATGGGAAATATGTTGTGAAAATGAGAGCTTTTATCTCTCTCTATTCAGTGAAAAGTTATAGCAACCCCAAACTTTCATCCGAAATGTTTGACTTCCAGGTCAAATTGAAAGCATGAATATCGGGTTGATGGTGATTATTTCTCTTATTCTATAAAGAGTATAAAGTTTTAAAACTGTAAATTCTCTCTCGGTAGATCTCCTAATGCTAAATCATGTTGTCGTGTCCGAATCTCCCTATTTTAATGACCTGGGCCCCGTTGCTCAAAACTTACCATTGATGGTAATTTTGTATGTCGTTAATGGCAAATTGGCAACTACCATGTTTACAGGGCTCAACAGCCTCTCAAAAGCAAGGTTTCCATGGTAGTAACCATCAATGGTAAGTTTTGAGCATCGGGGCTCAGGTCATTATCATAACTCGATATACTTAACATAATGCATACATGTTATGCAGTCCACCCTAAAGTGCTTACCTATGCCTTTACAAAATCTCGTTAGTGTAAAATGACTACGTAATTAATCTTCACAAGTTCTCTTCACTTTGTTCACATTTATGTTGAATTTATTCTCGAATTTGCACATTCAGATCTCAACACTATTATTATCCATTGGAGTCTTTAAAAGGAATGATTGTTTATATGCATTTTCTTTGCATGTATATGGCAAACTTCCGTAATCAACAGCAAAGTTTACATTTCTACTTCGCAGAGGAATTTGTTTAGCTAGCCATAATGGCACAGAAATAATTATGGTCAAATTCATAATATCACTCAAGTTTTGTTTTCTTGCTTTTCGAGCAGCATGATATACACCGTTTACAACAAGCACAGAGAAGGAAAACGATGACAGCTATGATCCCGACGATGAAAGCGAGAACGTCGATCGAATGAAGCTGGATGAAGCTGAGTTCCAAGGCTCTAGATCTCAGGTGTGACCCACCAAATTCGAGAATGTGTTCCACCCAGTAGACCACAGTTTCATCCGGTTTGGACTGGATATCTCTGTAGATTCCTGAGATTCGCTGGACATTTTCTCTGTAGCTGGAGATTAAAGGAAAACAAATTTAGTGGATAAAAGAGAAGATCAAGCAGTTTTTCACTGACAGAACCAGTGTTATATAGAGAAAGCAGGAAAGTTCTTTTCATATCAGTTTCATTCACGTCTTAAAGGAGTTCCAATACAAGGACTCTTAGATGATGTGCTCACACTCTGTAAAGTTTTTGCATATCACATTAAACTCGCATAGTAAAATTACTCATCACTGCATCTGAGGGTATGCCAGTTGACCGAAGGCCCAAAGAACCAAATGCTTCAGAAACAATGTGCAACTTGACCGGATAACCGGTGAAATTTGACCATCTTTATTTTCTAATAGGACTATATACATAATTAAAGTCAAAGTTTGTGTAAAATCACCGAAAATGGTGAAGTACTTTTTACACTAAGAGACCATTGGAAAGAATAAGGGATCCTAAACAAGGGATAAGATATAATCAGATGGTTTTAATTTTACATAATTATTACCATTACCTTTGATTGAGAAGAACGTCCATAACCGCCATCTTGACCGAATCATAAGATATTGAGTTCTTCTGAAGCCGTCTTCCCATTCCTTTGACCTCGACCTTAACAGCGTTTGAATGCTGCTCAGCAAAGATCGGCATGACTACCATGGGGACGGCGTAGTAGACTGCCTCGGTGATGCCGTTGAGACCCCCATGGGTTATGAAGAGTCGGGCTTTCGGGTGACCTGTATGACAATAGGGACTTTTAGATTTGCACGACGAGAACGTGGACTGCCACGTGTGACACCCTTTTGAGGTAATGTGACGTCCTTTTAAGGCACTGGAAGTGCATGCCCGGCAGTGCCTTAAAAGGACGCCACATTGCCTCAAAAAGATGCCACACGTCGCAGTCCACGTTCTCGTCGTGCAAATCTAAAAGTCCATATTAACACGATCGCGAGACTTTAAAAAACAATAAACCAACCTAACGCAGTTTCAGCTTGAGCCATGATGTCATCCTTTGAAATTTGCGGACATTACAACGACCTACTGCGGAATCTGAACATCATTTCTATAGACAATACCCTAGGATATTCAAATCGCCCTTGTGGTGGTTTCTCGAAAGTCTTTGCAATCGTGTCCCCCTACGTTGACGTGATGTGGTCTAGTGGATACGTCGTCGAACTGTGGAGCATGGGTCCGCGGTTCGAGTCCCGCCGCGGCACTATGGTGTCCTTTGGCAAGACATTAATCTAAATTACCACTTTCCACCCAGGTGTTAAATAGATACTGGTAGGAAGGAATTCCTTAAAATGCTGTGAGCATCGAAATCGGCAGCCTAGCAGAGCCGGGTAATATTGGAGCGCCTTGAGCACCTTGCATGGTGGATATGTGCGCTATATAAATATCCGATATTATTATTGTTATCATGTACGGGAGGATGCATCTAACTAAAACATCTAGATCCGTTCAGCTTGTGCGTAACTGCCAGCAAAGAAGGTATGAAATAAAGCCGGACGTACCAAGTAGATCATTTTGTGGCATCCAGTCTACCAGCATTGTGTTGTTACCAAGGTAACGAGGGCGTGTCCCAGTATACCGCCAGATGACTCTTTGTGGTAGCTCACTTAAGACTCTTGCAAAGGCCTCTGCCATCTCTTTAGGTAGCTCAGTAACTTGGATGCCCTACATATATTTTCATACAAATATAACTTTGTTATTTTCTCCTTTATGCAGTTAGTTACTGTTTTACATGGATTGTGTTCTGTGACATAACAAAGTGTGAATATATTCTTTCACATAATTATAGGCGTCTACGGAAGCGTTAAAGTGCCATTCTACTTGACGACATGACGAGATATTTCATCTTGTCAAGTCGACTTAATATCCATATCATGTCGACATGTAAAGATATTTAACCTACCATGTCGACTTATCAACTTTTATTAGTCGACATGGCGAAATAAATTATCTTGCCAAGTCGACTTCACAAAAAATTCATGTGGTCATGGCGACATATATTATCTTACCAAGTCGACTACCCAAAAAGTAATGTCGACATGGCGACATAAATTATCTTGCCAAGTCGACTTCACAACAAATTTCATCTCGTAATAGCGACATAAATTATCTCACCAAGTCGACTTCCCAAAAAGTATATGTCGTCATGGCGAGATATGTAGTGTGACGACTATTTCATGCAGCGCGCGTATATGGCAAGCCCTTTGTGTAAAAACCAGATGAACTCTGTTTTTCTCAGATAAACTCAGTTTTTCTCAGATAAACTCAATTTATCAGAAAAACTGTGTTTATCAATGATAAACTCAGTTAATCAACAGATAAACAGAGTTTATCAGTTGATAAACTGAGTTTATCAGAAAAACTCAGTTTATCAACTTAGAAACATTGTATTAAGCGCATTATAAATGTAATGTATTATTATTATTATTATTATTTTCTGATAAACTGTGTTTAACTGTTGATAAACTGAGTTTATCTGAGAAAAACAGAGTTTATCTGAGAAAAACAGAGTTTATCTGGTTTTTACACAAAGGGCTTGCCATATACGCGCGCTGCATGAAATAGTCGTCACACTACATATCTCGCCATGACGACATATACTTTTTGGGAAGTCGACTTGGTGAGATAATTTATGTCGCTATTACGAGATGAACTTTTTTGTGAAGTCGACTTTGCAAGATAATTTATTTCGCCATGTCGACATTACTTTTTGGGTAGTCGACTTGGTAAGATAATATATGTCGCCATGACGACATGTATTTTTTTAGAAGTCGACTTGGTAAGATAACTTATGTCGCCATGACGACATGAACTTTTTGTGAAGTCGACTTGGCAAGATAATTTATTTCGCCATGTCGACTAATAAAAGTTGATAAGTCGACATGGTAGGTTAAATATCTTTACATGTCGACATGATATGGATATTAAGTCGACTTGACAAGATGAAATATCTCGTCATGTCGTCAAGTAGAATGGCACTTTAACGCTTCCGTAGGCGTCCTATAGGCAACTCGGCAATAGAAAATCTACATGTCGGTGGTCCAAACGCTTCTAGGAAACCTATCCCCTGGACATCTACCCCCGGATAACCACGCCCAGTCAACTACCCCCTAGGACAACCACCCACTAGGACGACTACCCCCTGTGACAACTACCCCCGGACAACTATACTCAACAAACTACCCCCTAGGAAAAGTACTCCCGGACAAGTAACCCCGGACAACTACCCAATAGGAAAACTAACCCCGGAAATCTATCCACTGGACAACTAACCCCCAGACAACTACCCCTAGGATAGTTGTCCGGGGGGAATTGTCTGGGGGGTCGTTGTCTGGGGGTAGTTATCCGGTGAGATTTGTCCTGGAGGGTAGTCGTCCTAGAGGGTGGTTGCCTCCGGACAACTATCCTAGGGGGTAGTTTTCCGGGGGTAGTTGTCCAGGGGGTAGATATCCGGGGGTAATTGACCTAGGGGGTAGTTGACTGGGGGTGGTTATCCGGGGTGGACGTCCAGGGGGTAGGTGTCCGAATACGGGTCTGAACATCCTAAATTATTCAGAAATTAAAATCCCTCTACAAACAAAGATAATTTGAATAAAACATTTCCCCATGACATTCTCCGCCGGAGATCATAAGAGTAATCTGCTGTAGGTTGTATGACAGCCGTAGACCAACAAAGTCAATGTGGAATTCATGTTGTATATATACATATACTAATCTAATGTACAGTAGCAAGAAAATCTACTAACCAATGAAAATATGATGAAACCATGTTCACCCGACCCCTCAATGAAGCTTGCGTAGTCCTGCGATAAAAGAGAATATGATATAGCGAAATAAGATAGAGAGTATTCACAAAATAATAACGTGTCTGATTAAAAGCTATATGAAAACATTTGTCTATCTGATTTACGAAATATTGGGTTACGAGACCCTACATTTCATTGAAATACCATCGTAAAACACGAACAGTGATGGTACTTGACGTAAATGTTAACAATTAAACGTAAATGGTCACTGTCAAGATAACCCTCGTGTAATCATATATGCTTTTGTAAATATGTTAATTCAAATACCCTTATTCATACACAAACCTATGAACCAGGACCTACATAATACAAGCTTTGCTTTTGTAGTAGATCCCCCACTTTATTGATTGATTTATATGATTGTATTCTCTGTAATAACTATTATCATGTACATTATGCTTTCTATATTGTATGTTTATTTATAATAATTACCATTGTTCATTATGTTCAATTATGTTATTTTTGTGAAATAAAATAAACTTGAAACTTGAAAACTAATACAAAGGAGTCATGCACGGTTATTGATTCTCGAGGTTGTCCGGGGGTAGCAGTACAGGAGATAATTGTCCTACAATAGTCATATGACATTCATTTTTAGATTAATGAGTAACCTATAAGGAGCTTTCATAGCGACAAGCTTCATCCATAATCTCTTTGTCCTTCCTCTCACTCTTTCAATAATTAATTAAAGAGTTTAACAATATTATTTTTTTAATTTCAGTATCACAAACAGCAACACGCTCAAACGCTTCAACTTGACACGGTTTCCACATTCCATTTATTCATGCCATAATTACCTTCTGCAATGGCTTCGCAGGGGTGTCCGCGATGTTTCCAATAGCCACCCAATTAGGAGCGGTAGGGCGAGGGAAATCCAAAGCAAAATTCGTCATGCACAACCACAACTCTGCTCCACCTATCAGATCCGGGATGCTTCGTCCTGGAGCGATACCATGTTTGTCTTTAACCTCGTTTAAAGCCCCGAAGTGGATCCATTCGAGACTGCTCATGATGACGTGATGCTCCATGAAGCTGGCAACGCGCACGAGAAAAGCCATCCTGTCTGACAGAGATAGCAAACCCATGGGAACGTAAGATGACGGGAACGGGATTCCATACAAACGCTCGTGGAAGAAAGGATATCTCACTCCAGTCGTCACCGCAATGTACGGTATCTCGAGGTAGCTACTAAGTATCGCGTCACACCCATCAAATGCGTCCGCGATGATGATATCAAAGTGAGATTTCTCGAGCAGAGAGAGCGCTGCAGTGTCTTCGAAAAAGCACTGGCAGCTACGTCTGAACACCGCGAGTTCATTCACTACTTGTGTAAATTGCTTTACCAGTCTACTATCGAACAGAGCTTCAACAGAAAGTGGGTCCTTGGCACCTGGGGTATCGACGAACTTGTACTGGACAGCCCTGTTGTAGGTGTTCCTCTGGAAGCCTTTTGTTCCTGCAGAAGAGCTGGTGAGGATTGTCACATTGTGGCCGCGACGGGTCAGTGCTCCTGTGATGGCCGATATACCTTTGGCATGGCTACTTGGCATCGGACTTAACACGGAGACAAGAATATCGGCACCACTAGTCAAAGGTATGACATCGATGGCGAAGATCATGGAGGACAAAACGAAACACAGAAAACGTCTCATCGTGTCAAAGGTTGAATTTCGCTTGAGAAGCGAGTCGAAGCCCTAGTCACTGCAAATTGGAAATGTGAATGGAAATTTTGAATATAATAATTTCCTTTTTATTTGTCGTTAAGAAGCAATTATTTAGTAGCCAATATTATTTGAACTTCAATATGAGATAAAGTATGGGTTTACTAACTTACAGTGACGTGTCGCTGTGGTAGAAGCCGGGAAAACGAATGTGTGATATGACTATGTAACGAACTATTGCGCGTGATAAAGATAGCATGTCTATATTAAACCATCCTCTCTATAGACTGTAAAGGAAACGGTCGCATGAAATGGGTAGTTATATAGAGTTAGGAACAGGAAATATATTGTGTTTACATGGCGATGGCTGGCAACTAGCTTTGTTTGCATAGTAACTATGATGAACTTATTTCAGTTCGTCGAGGTTAATCTTTTGTGGGTTAGACGCGATGGGATTGTTGAATTTCCAAATCGATATGGACAGGAAAAAAAATGCTCCACCTAAAAAAAATGTTTTAAAAGAGTAATTTGTTTAGGGCATGATCATTTACTTCAACTAAAAAAAAAGAGAATGTCTCACGAGCCTTTTGCACGCTGATGAATCCTATCTAATTATTTCTAAATCATAATGAAATATTGTCAATTGTCGTGTTTATGATGTTGCACGCACCCCTTGTGCTGTTCAAATCGACTTTCTATCGAACCCAACGAGTCCACTTCTTGTCCATGATAATCCTGCGTCTAAACATAAATACACTGTATTTGTGACTTTTCGCCCTTTTCGCATCCGATGTATTGCTTAAGAAATTCAGAGCTTTGTCTGCGATACTATTATTAGTATTATTATTATTATCATCATAATTATTACTTATACCGCGCTTTTCCCATCAGGCACAAAGCGCTTACAGTGAATTAGCTTACAATTACATAAATGCATGTAATAAGAAAAACAATCTTACAACTACAAACTGCAAAAATGATGTGTTTTCAAGGCCTTTCTGAAGGTGATATACTGATGAAGACTAATTCTAAGTGGTAGATCATTCCAGTATTTTGACGCAGATCATCAGCTAATGTGCGAGTAACTGAATATGTGAGACGGAGAGAATCACTTGCTTACCTCTATGCCCTGGTAGGTGTAGGCCTATATAAATACAAACATGTATCTAAATGGAGCTTGATTATTGAGTATTTTGTAGACAAACAAGAGTAATTTAAAAATTATTCTTGTTTCAAAGGAAGCCAGTGTAATGAGCTCAATAGTGGCTGAGATGGATGGTCCCTAGAAACCTGATATATCAATTGAGCTGCCAATTTTGTAGCTGTTGCATACGATCCGATTGAGTCGAGGGAATGGTTGAGAGAAGCCCATTACAATAATAAAGATGGGATAGAACTAAAGAACGCACAGCGCATTGTGACCATACGAAAGAATCGTCGAAGCAATCGTGTACAAAAGACGTTAGATGTATATACATGTAGGCCTACCTGCAATGCAACCCTTTACGGTTTCGCATACAGTCATATAGACATTATAGACTGGTCACAATACATGTGTATTTGCTTATTTGTTTGAGAATCAAAATTTGAACTTTGAATAGGGGTTGAGATATCAACTCTATTGTAGTCCTCGTATAGCGTTATGAAATGGATTGTGTGAGCAGTGAGAGAAACGAAATACGATGAACCACTCTGTTATTGCCCCTCCCCCCCCCCCCCCCAAAAAAAAACCTGGATCTCCTCATCTCCTGTATTAAAGAATTGACATACTCTCACAGCTTTCAAGATCTGAAAACGAAACCTTTCTCAAAAAAAATTCTCTTAATATTCCTCTTTGTTTGTAATAAATGTAAGCTTTGGGTAATAATATTCTCTTTCTTTCTTTGCCAGTGTTTCTGTTTTATGCGCTTTGTATCTATGAAAAGGCGTGTTATAAATGATATGATATTGCTATCGCTGTCCGTTGGTGGGTTTGGCGGAGATGTGTACCTGGTTTAACGAGGGGGTTACGGGAAGGACTAGCTAATATTGTTTTTAAATAGAGGACGTCGCCGTGACGGATCCAGGTGGCTGAAGGGGCAGATAGGGCCGAGGCCTTGCATATTTAAGAGGAAAAAACGTGAAAAATTAACAATTTTTAATGGTAAAAACATTTTTAAATGAACACATCCCGCCCCGCCCCCCACTCAGTGTTAATTAGGGTACGCATATGCTCGTTCCCTCTTTTTGAAAGCACCCCCTATCTGAGGACTGCCAACATTTCCGAACACCCTTTTCGCGGGATTTTCGCGGGCTTTTCCTGCCTTGGAGACCCCCCTAATTCAGGAAAAATGCTCAATGTACCCCCCTAAATTCGGAATAAGTCCAAAGAGATGAGAGAAAAAAGAAAAAACACCCCCTTTTTAAAGAAATCTCCGGGTGAAAAGTCAAATACACCCCTTTTTTACAATTCTCGGGCCGAATTTTGTCGCACGAAAAGTACCCCTTTACCGGACATTTTGGCAACACGCATGCGGTCTTTTCGAAACCTGAGTGGGGGTGGGGGGCGGGGAACACATGCACTTTCGGATCCTTGAAAGAAGGAAGTCATCATGGTCAAAGCTAGCATATGGGCTGAAAATGGCTTTGCAAAATGGAAGAAGCTGTTGGCTGTTGCTGTTGTTGTTCTGTATATTTTACTCAGAGGCGGCCCTCCGGGGGGGGGCAAGGGGGCACAGTGCCCCTTTTATTCTGAAGTTTTTTTGAAGTTTTATTTATTCCACATTTTACATAGAAAAACAGTTTATATTCTTTTTTTTTTTTTATACAGGCGTATATTATTACAAGAATAGATTTCACACAAGAAAACAAAATAAAAAAATTAGAGATTTCAAATCAAATATAAAGTACGGATAATAAGTACGAAATTTAGAAATATGTATATTTAACAGGCTGGGTAGAACAATGTAAAATGTGGGGAGCCTAAATAAAAAGCATAGCTTGTATGTGAATAGGCTTCCGTATTGAGTAACACAATATAGTAGGTCTGGATTTAAAAGGTATTATATGAGGCGAAAACGGAGTAGTATAGTATGAGATTCTAGAGACGTACAAGGAGAGTGAATTTGAGAAGAAACGAAAAATAGAAATAGAGAGTAAAGAGAATAATATAATAGTGATAAGTAGGAGAAGGTGAAGAAGGGAAGAAAGAGTAAGAAGAGCAAGACGAAAAAGAAGTGGAAGAAGAGGCAGAAGAAGAATAAGAGAAAGCAAATTGATGAAATCAATGGCATTGTAAAATAACAAAAACACGTGCCCCTTTTACTTCGACAAGTGCCCAATTTCCTTTGTAAGAAGTGCCCCTTCCCCTTTGAATAACTAACCCTATTTTAACTCGCATAAGCGCACCTTATATTTTCGCATGTGCCCTTTTTCCTTTCGAATAAGTGCCACTTTTCCTAATGATAAGTGCCTTATTAAAAAAGAACCCCTTCCCCTTCTCATAAGTGCCCTTTCTCTGGTAAATTACCCTTTTTAGGTACGAGAAGTTACTCCTTTTCACTTCAGATAAGTGCCCCTTCACCTCCGATAAATGCCCCTTTAAAATCTGATCGATGCCCATTTTCTTTTAACTATAAAATACATTTCCGTTTGAATTGTTATTAAGAAGCAATTATTTATTAGCCAAAAGATTCGTTCACATACTTCAACAAGAATGGCATAGTCTGGACTATTGAACAAAGTATGTTCTAGAAATGGTATATAATACTTCGTAAGTAAAGGCTTTAGTCTATCGCTAAGTTTTCCATCATATGCACAGGAGCTGGTTCCCCACTATATCATTTATTCATCCACACGATCATTATCATTCGGTGGGTTTCTACAGGATTTCAAATAAAGTCAAGTTCAGGACTTTTCCAGACTTTCCCACGTTCGCGCTTTTGTAGAAACACATCATGATCGAATTACAATGTTATATGCAGCGCTCAAAATACACGGGGGCGGTGGGCGATTCGCCCCCGTTGAGCTACATAATCGCCCCCGTCAGGTTGCTCACGGGGGCGATTGCAAAATTAAAAATCGCCCCCGTAGAATTATAAAATAAAGATTATCTTTTCTGTTATAACTTTAACACAATATTGAGTTTCAATTTTCAAACCTTAAACCAATGAAATAGAACTTAGATTAGCGTGCAAGATTTCCCGTTCTATGAGTAGGCCTATTATTACCGATTCAGCTCGCAGTGCAGTGCCGCCGTCAGCAGTGGTTATAGGCCTACTGCGCCTTTAGTAACGGCACGTGTGCACGCTGCCGCGCCATGTCAGCTGCTGGAGCTGGAGGCGATCGCGAAAGGGCAGAAACCCGGCCCCCCACTCAGTATTATTTAGGGTTCGCATTATGCTTGTTCCCTCTTTTTGAAAGCACCCCCTATCTGAGGACTGCCAACGTTTCCGAACCCCCTTTCGCGGGCTTTTCGCGGGCTTTTCCTGCCTTGCTTGGAAACCCCCTTATTCATGAAAAATGCTCAATGTACCCACCTAAATTCGGAATAATTTCTCAGGAGTCCAAAGAGATGAGAGAAAAAAAAGAAAAAACACCCCCTTTTTAAAGAAATCTCCGGGTGAAAAGTTAAAACACCCCTTTTTTTTTACAATTCTCGGGCCGGACTTTGTCGCACGAAAAGTACCCCTTTACCGGACATTTTGGTAACACGCATAACCCCCTCCTCCCCTCCTCCCCCCCCCCCCCCCCCGGCCCCCTTGGGCTGCCAAGTGAAAATGTGATGTGCATAGAAAAACGTAGATGCCAGGAAAACAATACGGGGGTTAAAAATAGCAACAACAACAAAAATCGCCTCGCCGCTATGCGGCTCGTGGACGATGCTTGTCATGTAAGTAAATGCCAGGAAAACATCACTTACGGGGGTCCAAAATCAGGGGCGAACCAGCCGGCGGCAAGAGGCCGGGGGGGGGGGGGGGGGCAAATCTTGAGAAAATATTTAGTGGCGAATCAGCCAGCCGGCAATCGGCGAATGAGCGGGGGGGGGGGGGGTGGGAACATGGGAACATATTTGCGCCGACTCAGCCGGCCGGTAAATATTAAAGCGGGAGGGGGATGCTGGACAGGAGGACCACTAATCTATTATATTTTTTTCAGGGGGGGGGGGGGAGGTGAAGCGCCGTTTTAGCATGACTTTCTTTTTAACTCTTACTTTCACCTATCTCAGATAACCCTAAGTTTTTGGTTGCTGCTTTATATGTAGTTGATAATGCATGATTAAAATAAAGAGAGAGAGGGAGAGAGAACCACCATCATTTTGCAATGGTTCAGGGTTTGTGTAATGTACATTTGAAACCATTTCTTAGCATCTCAACCCTAACAAAACAGCGAAACTATTTTTGAGGAAAAGCATTATACTGAACTGAATAAAGAATAATAGCTTTATATTGGCTCATACTAATACTAATACGGGCTAAAGACAATGTGGTATTTGTAAAGAGGTATTCCAAAATGTCATTCTGATAATCAACATTTTGTTCTGGTATCATATGTATATACACATAATACAACTGATCTTTATGATTTCTTAACGTGACATAGCTTCTTCTCCCCCTGCAAACAAAAAAGAAAACAAGGTTATTTAATAAAAGGATCATGCGACTATAATCATTGTGATTCAAATTGTGCAAGGATTTTTTTGAATAAGCAATGCTTTTCACCAGAATCTTCTTTGTAAAAACGACCTTTACAAATCTCAGCCATGCAAATCTGCCACTGTGTTGTGAGATCACTTTCAGATTAGGAGAAGTGTATTCTTTAATGAGTATTTTACATTGAATGGAACGTCTCAACTCAGTAAGCATGGCTGAGATTTGTAAAAGTTGTTTTTACAAAGAAGATTCAGGTGAATAGCAGTGCTTATTCAAACAAATATTCGCATCAATTTGAATCACAATCATTATTTGTCGCTTAATCCCTTTTAATGACCTTGTTTTCTTTCTCGTTTGCAAGGTGAGAAGAAGCTATGTCACGTTAAAGACATCATAAAGATCAGTGTTGTATGCGTATATATTATACACAGGATCCGCGCCTGTCCAAAATAGCACACACACAAAATCGCATCGCCGCTACGCGGCTCAGTAAAGAAATAATGTAAAGGTTGCTCCGAATAA